AATTTCCTCTTTCATACTCGTTAGCATTTGCCTTACATATTGCGGTGCTCCTATGTTGGGTGCATATATATTTATAATCGTTATATCTTCTTCTTGGATTGATCCTTTGATCATTATGTAGTGTCCTTCTTTGTCTCTTTTCACACCCTTTATTTGAAAGTCTATTTTATCTGACATGAGTATTGCGACTCCTGCTTTCTTTTGGTCTCCGTTTGCGTGGAATATTTTTTTCCAGCCCTTCACTTTTAGTCTATATGTGTCCCTTGTTTTGAGGTGGGTCTCTTGTAGACAGCATATATAGGGGTCTTGTTTTTGTATCCATTCAGCCAGTCTTTGTCTTTTGGTTGGGGCATTCAACCCATTTACATTTAAGGTAATTATTGATAGGTATGGTCCCGTTGCCATTTACTTTGTTGTTTGGGGTTCACGTTTATACCACCTTTCTGTGTTTCCTGTCTAGAGAAGATCTTTTAGCATTTGTTGAAGGGCTGGTTTGGTGGTGCTGAATTCTCTCAGCTTTTGCTTGTCTGTAAAGCTTTTGAGTTCTCCTTCATATCTGAATGATATCCTTGCTGGGTACAGTAATATAGGTTGTAGGTTATTCTCTTTCATTACTCTAAGTATGTCCTGACATTCCCTTCTGGCCTGAAGGGTTTCTATTGATAGATCAGCTGTTATCCTTATGGGAATCCCTTTGTGTGTTATTTGTTGTTTCTCCCTTGCTGCTTTTAACATTTGTTCTTTGTGTTTGATCTTTGTTAATTTGATTAATATGTGTCTTGGGGTGTTTCGCCTTGGGTTTATCCTGTTTGGGACTCTCTGGGTTTCTTGGACTTGGGTGGCTATTTCCTTCCCCATTTTAGGGAAGTTTTCAGCTATTATCTCCTCGAGTATCTTCTCATGGCCTTTCTTTTTGTCTTCTTCTTCTGGGACTCCTATGATTCAAATGTTGGGGCGTTTCACATTGTCCCAGAGGTCCCTGAGGTTGTCCTCATTTCTTTTGATTCTTTTTTCTTTTTTCCTCTCTGCTTCATTTATTTCCACCATTTTATCTTCTACATCACTTATCCTGTCTTCTGTCTCCGTTATTCTACTCATGGTTCCCTCCAGAGTGTTTATGATCTCATTTATTGCATTATTCATTTTTAATTGACTTTTTTTATTTCTTCTAGGTCCTTGTTAAACATTTCTTGCATCTTCTCCATCTTTGTCTCCAGGCTATTTATCTGTAACTCCATTTTGTTTTCAACATTTTGGATCATTTTTATTATCATTATTCTAAATTCTTTTTCAGGTAGAATCCCTATCTCCTCCTCTTTTGTTTGACTTGGTGGGCATTTTTCATGTTCCTTTACCTGTTGGGAATTTCTCTGCCTTTTCATCTTGTTTAGATTGCTGTGTCTGGGGTGGGCTTTCTGTATTCTGGTGGTCTGTGGTTCCTTTTTATTGTGGAGGTTTCACCCAGTGGGTGGGGTTGGACGATTGGTTTGTCAAGGTTTCCTGGTTAGGGAAGCTTGTGTCAGTGTTCTGGTGCATGGAATTGGATTTCTTCTCTCTGGAGTGAAATGGAGTGTCCAGTAATGAGTTTTGAGATGGGTCTATGTGTTAGGTGTGACTTTGGGCAGCCTGTATGTTGACACTCAGGGCTATGTTCCTGTGTTGCTAAAGAATTTGCATGGTATGTCTTGTTCTGGAGCTTATTGGCTCTTGGGTGGTGGTTGGTTTCGGTGTAGGTATGGAGGCTTTTGGGTGGTCTCTTATTACTTAACGTTCTGTATAGTCAGGAGTTTTCTGGTGTTCTCAGGTTTTGGGCTTAAGTCTCCTGCCTCTGGATTTCAGTTTTATTCTTCCAGTAGTCTCAAGACTTCTCCAACTATACAGCACTGATAATAAAACTTCTAGGTTAATGGTGAAAAGATTCTCTCCTGTGAGGGACACCCAGAGAGGTTCACAGAGTTACATGAAGAATAGGAGAGGGAGGAAGGAGATAGAGGTGATCAGGAGGAGAAAAAGGGGACTCAAGAGGAGAGAGACAGATCTACGCAGCTGTCTGTTCCCAGAGTGTTCTCCGTAGCCCAGACACCCACAGAGATTCACAGAATTGGATTGGGAAGAGAAGGGGGAGGGAGGAAATAGAGGTGTTCTGAGGTAGAGAAGAGAGAGTCAAAAGTGGGAGAGAGTAATCAACACACTCCTGAATAGAAATGGGAACTGAATATTGGATTCTTAAATGTCCAAAATTTATATCACATACTGAAAAACACAGATTAAAAATCTAGCGTAGAGGTTAGACTCTTTAAAATCCAATATTTAAAAACAAAAACAAAAGCACCAAAAAAATTTAGAAATATATATGAAGTTCGGTTTAAAAATAGGGCTTCTCTCTTTTTTTTTTTTGCAAGGTTATAGTGAAATGTAAATGAAAATTAAGGAATAATAGAGGAGTATTAGAGGACTTTAAAAGGAAATAAGAAAAACAAGAAAAAGAAAAAAAAGAAAAACAAGAAAAAAAATGCTATTCCCTAATTAAAAAAATCATAAAAATAAATGAAAATGAAAGTTAAGGAGTAATGGGGGAGTAATAGGGAATTTTAAAAGAAAATAAAAGAGAAAAAATAAAAAAGATAAGGAAAGAAAAAAATTTTTTTTAATTAAAAAAAAAAAAATATATATATATATATCTAGGAATTTCTCTGGAGCTGTTGCAGTCAGTGTGGGTTCAGTTCAGTTTCAGATAGCTCCTCATTCCAGCTTACACTTCTCGATATCTGTAGGCCCTTCCGGTGTAGTTGGTGTTACCTTCAGGGATTTTAATCTGTTGCACCGGTCCTTACTGAAGCAGTTCCCTTTGTTTATTTGGCTTCTGTTTGCTTTCTCTTTGGTTCCTTTCCGCCCGGACACAGGCGGGCGGAGGTGATTTCTTATTTAGGTTCGCTAGTTCAGTCCTTCTACGGGGAGGGCGGGGCGCTGCAGACAGATATCGCTGGCCTGTGTGGGTAGCACTCACCGTGTTCCGGCCACACTGGGTTTGCCCCGCTCACAGGTGTCTGTGCTCTCCCCGTCTACACTGCTCAGGCTCCCGACTGCTCTATAGGGAGCGTGCCCTGCGTTGCGTGCGGTTCCAGTTTTCAGGTTCTCCACAAAAGCGTGGACTCGGTTGCGCCTGCGTTTTGTGCCTTCCCCGGCCTGAGTGGCTCAGGCAGCCAGAGGCTTGACGGGCGCACTCTCCCCGGGTGCGGCATGCCCTCTCCCCTCCGCGGCCCCAGCCTCAGTTTCTGCGCGCGCAGGTCGGGTGCCAGCAGCTTGTGTTTGTTCTCAGGAGCTGGCCTCTAGCCGAGACCCTCCCAGCGGCGGATGTCGACCATCCAGAATCTCAGGAAGTCTTTGGATAGAAACTGGAGGCCTGTTTGCAGTGTGGTAGGAGATGCCGTCTCTGGGGCCGATTTTGCCCCTTTCCCCTCCCCCCTGCCTGCTACCTCCGGCGGGGATGGGCCGGTTCGCCGCAGGCTAGCTCTTCTCTGGAGTTTCTCAGTCCCTTTGTTTTGCGAACGGCCGGCAGTGTGTTCGGGCTGGTTAATTTTGACTCTTGCTATCCCACAGTTTAAAAAAGCTCCCTCCGATTGCTCTCAGGGTCTTCGGGCCAGTCCTTACCCTAAGCAATGCTGCCCGCTCCACTCCGTTCCGCCCCCACTTGCTGGTGGCGGATGCGGGTGTCTGGCGTACTTTTCTCCTGAGAGTTGCTTTTAGGCATGTAATCTGTGGGCCTTATTTAATTTTTCCTCCCAGTTAGGTTGCCCTCTGAGATTCAAAAACTTCCCCCAGACCCGCCAGTGCGAGGGTTTCCTGGTGTTTGGAAACTTCCTCTGTTAAGACTCCCTTCCCGGGATGGGTCTCCATCCCTAGCTCTTTTGTCTCTCTTTTTATCTTTTATATTTTGTCCTACCTCCTTTCGAAGACAAAGGGCTGCTTTTCTGGGCACCTGATGTCCTCTGCTAGTGATCGGAAGTTGTTTTGTGAAATTTGCTCAGCATTCAATTGTTCTTTCAATGTATTTGTAGGAGAGAAAGTGGTCTCCCCGTCCTATTCCTCCGCCATCTTGGCTCCTGCCATTGACTTCTTAAGGGGTCTCAGTTTTCTCATCTCTCCACCCAATCTGGAAAGGCTCAAGAATTCATTGAGAATGCCTGAAGGTTAAATCAGATAACTAAAAGAAAATAATGTCTTCCATAAACCAGTTACTTAATAAATTATAGTTGTAATAAATGGATTAAGAATGCAGTAGTTCAAATAAGAATAGTGTATTAGATGATCCTGTCATTAATTTAAAAAAAGAGGGACTTCCCTGATGGTCCAGTGGTTAAGAATCTGCCTTACAATGCAAAGGACATGGGTTCGATCCCTGGTCAGGGAGCTAAGATCCCACATGCCACAGAGCAACTCAGCCTGTGTGCTACAACTACTGGGCCCTTGCACCGCAAATAGAGAATCTGTGTGCCGTAATGAAAGATCCCCCATGATGCAAGGAAGGTCCCACATGCCACAGCTCAGACCCAACAAATATAATAAATAAATATTTTTTTAAAATTTATAATAAATTTATAAATATAATATATATTTATAATTATAATTATATAAATATAATAAATATTTTAAAATATTTATAATAAGTAAATATTTTTTTAAAAAAGAAAAGAGCTGTATTTAGGCCACTAATGCCTAAAATGTTGGTTTAAAGTGTAAACATTATGATAATTGCTGGTGTTCTTTGAGAACATGACCTAACTCATGCCAGGAACTGTCCTAATGTTTTTTATGTGTTATCTCATTTAATCCTCTTTTTAAATAAAGTATAAGCCCAAATCTGCCCATGCTCTTAACAAATATTCTATGTATATTAATAGCTCATAAATTTTTTTTTTAGCTCATACATTTTAATCAGGATGTGGAAAAGTCTGATAGAATTCTAACCTGTATGTTTAATACATGGTTTTTAACTTTAGGACTTGCAGGAAAGCCTGGTGAGAAAGGAAACAGAGGCAATCCAGGGTTACCGGGTATAAAAGGACTCCCAGGGCTTCCTGGACCAGCAGGACCACCAGGTATGGCTGATTCCCTAATGGAAATATCAGGTGTTAAGTTTTCCTACACCTAAATGTAACAAAAGTGTGTTTCTAGAATATGAATTCTGCCCCAACAGTGTTCCAACAGAAATCTGCTTCTTATAATTTAACCAAATTGTGGTCAGCCTGCATTAACTAAAAATATTAACCTACATGAAGTTCTATGTTGCATTCAAAATGTTATTTTGAAATTGCTGGTATATACTGCAAGCTATCATTTATTACAACATCATATATCCTGGAAGAAAGTAAGAAAATGCTTTAGAGGCCTCTTTCTATTTTAAACAAGTTATTCAGTTTGCAAAGTCATTTTTTAAATAAATAAATTAGTCCCCTATTCCCCGTGACATCGCTGATGAAATATATTACATGGTAATAAAATTTCCTTGTTGTATTTGGAAATCTATTACAGTATCGTCACAGTAGCCCCTTCTTTCCTGCTGGCCTTGGTCCTAGGATGATTTTGATGTTTGAACTCCAGGCCTGCTGACCAAAATATAATTTCCTCTAATTGTACATTTTCTGAGTTGCCAGTCCCTTCCCTATTTGAAGGCATAAAGGCAGCTAAACAAGTACCTAAACCAGCTGGTCTGGTTGATCTGGATTCATTCATTTGTGCAAGCAACAAATGTTCATTGAGCATATACTGTGTCCAGAAACTACACAAAGCCTATGACTATTTATTTGTTCTCAAGGTCCCAGAGGAGAGCCGGGCAGCATTGGGAATCCCGGTGAGCCAGGACCACGTGGCATCCCAGGAAGCATGGGAAACATGGGAGTACCAGGTAACGCGTAAGGTCCTATTGTGAGCCTACCACCTCCTGATGAGTTCTGATTCTACATTTTCTGTGTTGTCACTTTGGTTTTCCACTTGGTAGAAAGTTGGTGTACAACAACTAGATATGCTTTTAGACAAAGGTACTGTATGCAGCAAGAACATGAGAATGAAATAAATATTTACACTGTGCAGAAAATCATCCATTGAGGCTACCTGACACATTAGAGCTTCTGAGAAACCAACTTCATGGGAGAAAGATGGTTTGTGCAAAGGTCAGAAGTAGAATCCTTCAAGATCTCTGCCTTTACCTATTTTACCTGATTTCTTTCCTAATTTCAGGTACTAAAGGAATGAAGGGAACTGTGGGATTCCCGGGTCTAGCTGGAAGTCCAGGCCTCCCAGGTATTCATGGTCTCCAAGGAGATAAGGGAGAGCCAGGTTACTCAGAAGGTGCAAGGCCAGGACCACCAGGACCAAAGGTATGTAGGCCACAGAAGTATTTATGTTTTGGTAGTGGAATGAGTCCTTTTACATATCAACAGCATCTGGATTCATTGTGGGCAAGGAAAACTGAAAACATTACTGTATTTTCAGGCATTTGTTTGGGCTTTTTGTTATGTTTTTTCCTCTCTCTATAACTCAGGATGTCTATCACACAGTTTCAACTTCTGAGTTTATTTTGTCCAGTTTCAACCCCCGAGATATTTCTCATAACTGACCCTGTAATTTATGCATGCTTCCTGGTGGGCTTCCCTGATGGCTTAGACCATAAGGAATCTGTCTGCAATGCTGGAGACCTGGGTTCAATCCCTGGGTTGAGAAGATCCCCTGGAAGAGGGCATGGAAACCCACTCCAGTTCTTTTGCCTGGAGAATCCCCATGGACAGAGGAGACTGGTGGGCTACAGGTCCTGGGGTCACAAAGAGTCGGACACAACTGAGTGACTAAGTGCACACACACACACACAATTGAGGATGTCTATCACACAGTTTCAACTTCTGAGTGTACTTTCTCCAGTTTCAACCCATGAGATAGTTCTCATAACTGGCCCTGCAATTTATATATGCTGCCAGCAGGAGTCAGGGATCACAGGCCCGTATAACATGCCCAGGCAGTGTTTGTTTTTCTTATGGCACAAAGTGGTCAGTCTCTGCTCTGGATTCAAATCACACATGCTTACCAAAATAAATTTCCCAACTTTATAATAAAAAATACTTATTAAACATAATAAAAGATATAAAATAAATTTAGAGAATTATTAAAAAACACACACAAAAATTCTAAGATACATTTATCTTTCTTGTTTTAGAACTTTATTTTCATTGCATTACACAGAGGATTTATTTATCTTGTCCTAGTGTTTTCAGTGCTTGTGCTCTGTTGAAGTCCTCCCTTGTATGTTACATCATGCAGTAACCAAAGGTTTCAGTGGGGCTCAGTTGTTCTTTAGGTTTATCTTCTTCCAACCTTTCTGTCTATAGCAACTACACTAAGATTCAGAGCGAGACTGAGAGAGAATAGCTAACAGAAATTCCCACAAGCAGGGGGTTTTAACTTGTAATTCCATGGACCCCTGGGGAAGCCTATTGGATCCAAAGAAAAATTGAATCCAGATCGATTTCATCCATCCTGAATTTGAATGAAAACCATTTGGAGACGAGTTTTTTGTTTGTTTGTTTTTCTTTTATAGGAGTCTGTTATTTTTCATCAGACTTTCAAGAGTATGTGATTCCAAAGAATATAAAAATTGTTACTTAGGGAACTTTCTCCCTGATTCTCTTTTGAGCCAATAAAATACCGCCTTTCCTAAAGATTTCCTCCAGCTATAAATCATCATGAAAGAAAAATTTTTAGAAACCACAAAGGCCCAAGAAAGTAACCCTTTATTACTTGGAGTACAAACAAATTTCCCTTTGCCCTTTATTTTTAACTAGATCCTCAGAAAACCAGGGAGAAATTCTTTCCATTCTTTCCTCAATGAGTAATTGTATTTGACTGAATTCATTCAATTAATTAACAGTTTCATTGAGATTTAAATTTTCCATAGGTAACTACAGAAGAAATTTTTTTAAAACTGTACACTGTACACAAAATGAGCTGGCTTTATCATGCTGGCAAATCTTAGTAACAGAGTAGTATTTTAATCAGCTACCATCAAGATTCTGTTAGTCACTATCAAATCCATATGTTCTGGCTTATCATAAAAGCAAGGTACAGATTTAATGAATAGAAAACCATGGAAAGTTTTGGGTTTTTTACATTTATTTATCTGCATGCAGAGTATTTGATGAACACACATCTATTTGTTCTGTTTGTTTCTTACACCTGACTTAAACATTACAATTTGAATGTATACATTTGTGATTAATATCTGTCTCCCAGTGGTCTCTAAAGTTCCATGAAGGCAGGGATTGTATCTATCACATGTCTGTATGCAATTACCATCACATTCCTGGCTTCCTGGGCATAGGGCTCTCTGTAGCCACAGAGGTCCCATGCTGATAAGGACTCCATGCTTGATTTAATGCTCTGCCATTTCTGTCTTGAATTGCTTTTTAAAAGTTTATTTTTAAAACACAGGAGAGGCGCATTTTCATTTTGCACTGCACCCCACAAATTATGTAGCCGTCCTGTTTCCAGCAAGTTTTCAGGGTGCTGGCTCATAGCGGACATTTACCTTGAATTGCTAAATAAATCAATAAATGCAAACTAACATAATTTGTACTTAATTCTGATCACATATTCTGCTCATATGAGAATTTTAAAGGTGTTTGACTGAATTTAAGGGAGATCCAGGATTGCCAGGTGACATGGGCAAGAAAGGCGAAAGAGGGCCCCCTGGCGCACCTGGACGTTCGGGGCCTGCTGGACCAGAGGGCCTTCCTGGGAGTCCCGGACCCCCTGGCCACCCAGGTGAGCCTGGCTTTGCAACCTGAATGCTGGAAGCCTGACACGTGTATGGCCCCCGCTTCCTAGAAGAGTGAATGGAAAGCTGTTTTGTACTACAGTTGCCTTCTTTCACCTTTGATCTTTAAAATCAAAGACACTAAGAAACAGCAAATGAATTGCAAGGAGCCCATTTCAGGCCAGTTTGGTGACCTGAAATCTTAAAACTTCCTGTAAACAAAATTTGGGGAGTGCTGCCTCACATGAATTCAACCTAAAGACATGAAATGTTAGCTCAATATACTTAGGATATTTGTATTAGTTTCCTTAGGCTTCCAAAGCAGATACACAGACTGGGTGACGTAAACAGAAATTCATTTTCTCAGTTCTGGAGGCTGACAGTCTGAGATCAAGGTGTCCCAGAGCTGATTTCTTCTGAGGCCTCTCTCCTTGGCTTATAGGCGGCCTCCTCCTCCAGGTGTCTTTGCTCCGCGTATCTGTGTCACAATCTCTTCTGATAAGGACATCAGTCGTGTTGGATTAGGGTCACCATCTGCCTTGGTGACCTCTTTTTAACGTAATTACTTATTTAAAGATCCCGCCTGGGAATTCCCTGGTGGTCCAGTGGTTAGGACTCCACTGGGAGCCAGAGTTCAATCCCTGGTTGGCAAACTAAGATCCCACAACTGGGGCAGCACAGGCAAAAAATAAATAAACAAAGACATACCTCCAAATGCAGTGATATTTTGAAATACTACATGATGAAGACTTCGGCAGATGCATTTGGGGGCAACACAATTTAACCTGTAGCACTGTTGATCTGAGACTTTTTTTCTTTCTGACATGTTTCCAGTTTGAACATTGGGTTGCTTTCTTACTGATATTTGCTTATTTGGGTTTTCACTTCATTTGATCAAAAACACCTACTCAGTCACTGGTTTGCAGCTTCAGGTCTTACCTAAAGGCAATATTTAAACTATTTTTTCCAAACATGGAAAGGTTCAGTGGATTTGCTGCTAAATCCCAATTAAAGTAATAAATCAGATATTCAGCTATCCACCTGTCTGGGGTACACATCCCTCTGAAAATGAGTGGACACAGCTCTGCTGTGCTTCTCTGGGGAAATAACATCCAAGACAAAAACCCACTATGACTGGTAGCAGGAGTGACCCATGAAGACCAGCTTGAGCACAATTGACTGTAACAGCTGACGTTTAGCCATTGTTGGAATCATTCATCTTGTGGTTTTCTTTTTTCCTTTCCCTCTCTCTTCATTTACAGGAAAGTCTGGTCCTGGTGGTGATTTGGGGTCCAAAGGAATCAAAGGCTTCCCTGGCTTTCCAGGAATAAAAGGCCCTCCAGGTTCCATTTTTGTATTTTGTCTAGTTCCCTTTTGTGAGGGAAGCATGTTTTCTATGTGGTTGGAATCTCTTTCTACCTACCTGTATCTCTGACCCACAACTTCTCCTTGGAAGGTAGCTTCCAGTTACCCATTTCCCAGACAGCAGTGCGGAAAAGTAAGGTTAGGTGTAATTCAAAGATCAGGCTTCCCAGATGGTGCTCGTGGTAAAGAACCTGCCTGCCAGTGCCAGAGACATAAGAGACATGGGTTCAATCCCTGGGTCTGGAAGTTCCCCTGGAGGTGGGCATGGCAGTTCACTCCAGTATTCTTGCCTGGAGAATCCCCATGGACAGAGGAGCTTGGTGGGCTACAGTCCATAGGTTTTCTAAGTCAGACATGGCTGAAGCAACTTAGCGTGCTCTCGCTCCCAATTCAAAGATCAGCCAACCTACGCAAAGTGAAAATCCTCATGCTAGCACTCACCAGTCCATGGTTTTCACTGTGAATTTAGCTTCATGTCACTACAGTTCTGAAAGATGAACACTTTTTACAGAATTCCACACATCTGGGGTTCACATCAGGCCACTGATAGGAAGTAAGTCCTCTCTTTGAATGGCCTTTTTTTCCAGGTCCTCCAGGATTGCCAGGAAATGCTGGCCCAGTGGGTGAGAGAGGTAATCAAGGACTTGATGGAATTCCTGGTCCAGCCGGAGAAAAAGGAGAAACAGGTACAGCTTGCTCACCATGGATACACTAGTTTTACTTTTCATAGAATTATTAGTGACACTGTAATTCTTCACCATTCTAGGAATACTTCCCTGACAGAACTGATGACCTTTAAGTTGTTCTGGGTTGCAATAATTCCGTTACCAAAGTGAAGGTGACCAAGTAGAATAAATTTTATATATAGGTCAATTTCACATTAGGGAATATATATATGTGTGTGTGTGTTAGTCACTCAGTCGTGTCTAACTCTGCAACCCCATGGACTGTAGTCCACCATGCTGCTCTGTCCATGGGATTTTTCAGGTAAAGAATACTGAAATGGGTTGCCAGTTTCTACTCCAGGGGATCTTCCCAACCCAGGGATCAAACTCACATCTCTTGTATCTCCTGCATTGGCAGGCAGATTCTTTACCACTGTGCCACTTGGGAAGCCATGTATAAATATAAATATATACATATATATATGAAGATGAATATATATATTGTGTTAGTCACTCAGTCATGTTTAACTCTGAAAGGTTGTTATTGAACTGTGAAAGACACTGGGATTCTTGGCCTCTGGAGGGGAGGAATTCAAAGCGGGGCCAGTGACGAGACTTGACCGCTCAGAGCTTGTGTGTGATATTAAAGTATGAAAGAGACAGAAAAAGCTTTTGACATAGACATCGGAAGGGGGCAGAAAGAATACCCCCTGCTAGTCTTTAGCAGGATGTTATATAGCTACCAGCAGGCTGCTAATTAGACAAAGGGAATGTCTCAAAACTCAGAGATAGGCACCAGGCCCCTCACCCACAATATGCATTTTGAGATAACATTGGCACAAGGTGAGTCATCCGGGGCCATAAAACGATTGACATGAATCTTGAAGAAAGGCAGGTTTCCAAGTAAATATATAGTTTCATCAACATAGATTAGGAGAACAACGTATGAGTAAAACATGCTGTTTTGTTGAGCCCTTATTGGTTCTGAGTCTTAAGCAGAACTGACTTGAAGAGTCTAGGGTAAATACATAGTTCATTAACACAGCTTAAGAGAAACATTTCCATAAGAAAAATGCATTGGTTAGCTCATGGTTTGAGAAGAGTTAATTTCAGGTGGAACCAGGTGTCATCATGGCAACCTGGAATTTTAAGAGAAACCTCCTTTTAAATTTGCATAGAGAAGGGAAAAAATCTGATACTTGTAGTTTGTTTCTTCCTGCTGCTTAAGAAAGATAAAAAAATCGTCTGACACTTGCAGCCTATTTCCTCTGTTTGCAGACCCCTAGCCTTCCTGCCTGTTACCCTCTCAACTCTTTGCAGTCCCATGGACTGTAGCTTACCAGGCTTCTCTGTCCATGGGATTCTCTAGGCAAGAATACTGGAGTAGGTTGCCATTTCCTTTCTCCATAATACATATTATATGATATAAATTAACTGTATATATAACATATTGAAATACAAACATTTTCTCTTTCAGGCTTGCTGGGAGCACCTCCAGGTCCAAGAGGGAAACCTGGTCCTCAAGGTGAGTGGTTCTTCCTCCCAAACCTGGTGATATACATTTTCAAGGACAGAATCTGATTTAATAGCCCTGACAGATACACTTAGCATTTTGAATTAAAGAAGTCCCAATGGTAACACAGGATATTTATATTCCTAGCAGTCAAGTAAAAACGTTCCATTACTACCATCACAACAAAATGAACACACTAGACACTGTGATCCAACTTTCAGATTTCCATCTATGAAAGTAAAAAGACTTCTTCTGTATTTCCTTCCTTGTTATCAGCATGGTTAAAATGTATCAGCTCCTAAAAAGATGGAGGTGGAATTGACAGCTTCTCAAGGAGTTTCCTCTCCCTGCTATTCTGAGCTGCAGTAGTAACACTAATCTTTTGCCACCTTGTTCTCTTCATTGGTCTGATTCCAATCCCTGGAGCCAGTGTGTGGCTCAGGCTACTGTTTATTCAGGGCTTTCCCATAACTCTCTCAGGATCTCAGACATGGCAACTTACTGAACATGTCATTGAGAACATACACGTTTTTTGTTTGCCTCAGACTGTTGCCAGACCCTTCAAACATCTCAGAGCTTGCAGAGCTGAAATCATCTAAATTCGTTTGAAAGTATAAATTACAGTCATAAAAAAGGACATGGTAGACAAAGTGTTAGATATTCAGTTTTATTTTCATCATCACTTTAAGCATCCTCTGCACAATATATAACTCCCCAAGCCCTTACCTGTGCCACCAGCCTCATCCTCACTTTTCCTTCTTCCATCTTTTCCTATTGTCATGCCATTTACTATTGGATAGGCCAAGTTCATTTAGGTTTTTCCATGTGATGTTATAGATTTTATTTCTAGAATATTTCTAGAGTAACACAAAGATGGGAGAGAGGAGGGGATTATTTTCAATTCATAAAACATTTTCCATTCATGAATGCCAAAGCACAATTTCTTGAAGGTTTTCTGAGATTAAATATATTAAGTCGTGACCTTCTGGGGGAGTCTTCTTTGGTAAATTCAAATCTCTCATCACCATTTCTCCCAGACTAGTGTTTATCTTATAGGGGAGAAGTAATCAGAGGACAGAACAGAAATTGCAACTTTGTTGTTCCTTTGTTGGGGTTTGGCTGGGAAACACTTGAAATGCACAAGCCAGCCCTGACGTTTAGCTTTTTAATGCTCTGTTGAATTATCAGTGATTAAATAAAGTCATTGTAATTAAAATTCACCAGATAATAACAGACAGAACACTTTAGAGCTTATACTATGCTTTTTCATCTGCATATTCTCTCATTTGATATTTAAAGAACTGTGTTAAGTCAGATGTTCCCTCTATTTTTAAAATAAGAAAACAGTGAAATGACTTTACCAGGAGCAACAGATAGCTGGAGGCAGAACTGAGTCTAGTCTGAACCCTGTCTTCATAGACGTACATCTCTTTTGTCGGACTCTAAAAAAAAATTATATTTTGAGTCTTAATACCTTTAAGCAAAGTGTATCTGTTATTAGGGATAACCACAAACTATAACATCAAATACAGGGGCATTACAGAAACTTACCACTTTTCTTCACAGGAGCCAAAGGAGACAGGGGAGCACCAGGCTTGCCCGGCCTCCCTGGCAGGAAAGGGCCAGTGGGAGATGCTGGGCCTCCAGGGCCCATTGGCATGACAGGACCTCAAGGGGCACCAGGCTTTCCTGGTGTAACCATCCCTGGCCAGAAAGGAGATCGAGGTCCACCTGGCTCCAGAGGAAACCCAGGTAGAGAATCTACTTTTAAATATGGTAAAAGAATGAAAATGACATTTGACATCAGAAGCTTTCAACCCACTCATGTGACCATCTTGCTTCTTTTTCCTTCTGGTCTTCTCTGTTTTCCCATTCCCACCTGTCCTCACTTGGGCTGCCTAAGGCTGTTGGTGTGGAAGCAGAGGGACCTACTTGAAAAATTAGTAAATACTGGCACTTCCCTGGTGGTGTACTGGTTAAGACTTTGCCTTCCAATGCAGGGGGTGCAGGTTCGATCCCTGGTTGGGAAACTAAGATCCCACATGCCTGTGGCCCCAAAAAACAAAACATAAAACAGAAGCAGAATTGTAACAAATTCCATAAAGACTTAAAAAATGGTCAACATCAAAAAAAATTATTTTTTTAAAAAGAAAGAAAAATGAGTAAATATCAAGTTCATGAGCCTGGGAGAGAGAGAGAAGCATCCATTCACCAGTACTGACTGAGCCCCTACTGTGTGTAAGGTACTGGGTTAGGCACTGATTTTGCTCTAACAAACCGTCATCAAGGAGAAGCTGTTCCTGCCTCACACCTCGTGGCAGGTAACGTTAAGGTGCAGGGTTTGCTCTTCACTCAAAAGGGCACTAACAGAACCTGCAAAGCTCCCCGAGTGGTAACACTGACAGGCTTTTTATGAATTCAGGCGTGCCTGGTCCTCCTGGGCCTCCAGGGAGTCCTGTAGAAGGCATAAAAGGAGACAAGGGGTTGATGGGAGAGCCTGGCCAAAGAGGTCCACCTGGAGCTGTAGGAGACATGGGGCCACCGGGTCCTCCGGTAAGTGGGAAATTATTTTGATGTCTGACCAAGCTAGACAGCATATTAAAAAGCAGAGATATTACTTTGCCAACAAAGGTCCGTCTGTTCAAAGCTATGGTTTTTCCAGTAGTCATGTATGGATGTGAGAGCTGGACTAGACAAAAAGCTGAGTGCCGAAGAATTGATGCTTTTGAACTGCAATGCCGGAGAAAACTCTTGAGAATCCCTTAGACAGCAAGGTGATCCAATCAATCCATCCTGAAGGAAATCAGTCCTGAATATTCATTGGAAGGACTATCTGAAGCTGAAACTCCAATATTTTGGCCACCTGATGTGAAGAGCTGACTCAGTTGAAAAGACCCTGATGCTGGGAAAGACTGAAGGTGGGAGGAGAAGGGGATGACAGAGGATGAGATGGTTGGATGGCATCACCAACTCAATGGACATGAGTTTGAGTAAACTCCGGGAGTTGGTGATGGACAGGGAGGCCTGGCGTGCTGCAGTCCATGGGGTCGCAAAGAGTCAGACACAACTGAGCAATGGAACTGAACTGAATGCTTCTAAGTTGACTGTCAGGATCAGATGTACCTGGAAGCATCACAAGTTTCCCACTTGTGATGCTTCTATGCAGTGAACCCAAAAAAATGACAGCGTCTGGAAGGTTCAAAGAGTCAAAGGACCTTAAGAGTTGCCAGATTTGGTCTCTAAGAGGCCTGTGAAAGTTCAGTCTATTTGGAACCCTTCTCTTTGTCATCCCTGACCTCATCTTGTTTCGACTCTGAACTATTTCATGTAGAAGCTTAGAATCACTCTAGATGACAACAAAATTTTTCTCTATTAATAGGATTTCAAAATCTTCGTTGCCGTCCCTTAAATGTCTATTTTCCCCCACAACCTACTTTCCAGTATTTATGAATAGCTGCCATTTCCTTCTGGGTATTTTCTCTCCCAGTAAATATGTTTTCCCCTCAATTTCAGTTTAACTTTTCATCAATGTGCCTCTATTCTGAATACATCCTAGTGTGCCAATACCTTAAGAATGCAGCCCCTGAGATGAACACCTTCTAGGAATATGAAATCAGTACCCCCCACAGAGTAGCTAGAAGACAGATGAGTCTCACCATCCTGAACATTCTGTTTTATAATCCAGTCTACAAGTCCACATGGGGCTTCCTAGGTGGCTCAGTGGTAAAGAATCTGCCATCCAATTCAGGAGATGCAGGTTTGGTCCTGGGTCAGAAAGATCCCGTGGAGAAGGAAATGGCAACCCATTCCAGTATTCCTGCCTGGGAGGATTGCATGGGCAGAGGAGCCTGGTGGGCCACAGTTCATGGGGCTGCAAATAGTCAGACATGACTGAGCTACTAAACAACAATAAAAACAGAATTCCACATGGATTGTCTGGCTGCCTAGTCACCACATTATCATCACACGTTGAGTTTACGGTCAATGAAAGCCCTTGTGCCTTTTCCGCCTGAGCTGCTACTAAGTTTCCTCCATTACTTTTTGTCTTGTCCATTTGTGTATTTGTGACTTTCACATTTATTTTTCTTAGATATCATCTTGTTCCTTTAGGCTCATGCTCCCAACCTATTAAGATCTCTCAATCATAACATCTCACTTAACACCATAGCCACCTTCCCTAGCTTTTTTTCAGCAGCATATTTGAAAAGATTTCTCCATTTACATCAAATTCCTGGAAACTAATGATGAAATCAGAGTTATGTCATAGTGGTTCTGTGTTATCTTGTGATGGATAATGAGGTTTTTTGACATGGTTTATTGCCAGGATACATGTTAAGCTCTCTTGGTATGTGGTTTCCAGAATCTACTTTTTAAAAACTTTTTAAAAAATGAGATACTCGCCTATCTCCAGCATTAGGTATTTCTCCTGTACTTCATGATTTTTTGAAAGTGGCAAACACTGATATTACAATCACATTGAAAGTTCTTCCAAGAACACTGGGATGTGGAAAGTCTAGTTTGGAAATGCAATCTCTCTTAAATCGTCTGTAGTGTTGGCTTCTGTATTTGTACCTGAAAGATAATTTTTGTTGTTCAGTCACTAAGTCATGTCCAACTCTTTGTGACCCCATGAACTGCAGCATGCCAGGCTTCCCTGTCCTTCTCTATCTCCCGGAGTTTGCTCAAACTCATGTCCATTGAGTCAGTTATGCCATCCAATCATCACATCCTCTGTCGTCCCCTTCTCCTCCTGCCCTCCATCTTTCCCAGCATCAGGGTCTTATTCAATGAAGACTCCTTGCCCTTAACAACTCTCTCCTTGCAGGAAACAGCTTCCTCCCCACCCAAGAGAAGGGCCTGGCACCAGACCTTTCTCCCTGGTTACCTTTACCTCTGGACAACAGGCCAGACTTGAGAAGCCTGAGAATCCTTGATTACATGCTCCTGTTTATTCTCCTTCCTTTTTTAAACTCACACCACCTTATCTAAGAAATAGGACCGTTCCTTCTTTGGTCTTCAAGCCCCAAAGACAGCTGGCTCAACGACCAGTTTTGTTACTGTTGGCATTTTCAGGACCTTCAATTCATTGTTTTCAAGTAATTGCATTCTGTCTCAATTCTTATGGGTAGTATAAGACTAGAGGTGACATACATTCTGACAAACAGCGCTTTTTGGAAGCCCTGTTCTCTCCCCTCTCCTCCTATGGCCTTGCTTGAGCATCTCGGCCACAAGGGTAATTAGTATGAGCCTCATAATATGGGAGCAGCTCAGCCCGGTCAGATCATTGCATCCTTGCCAAGAGTGAGGTCAAAACTCCACTGACACACTCTTCCTACTCCCACCCCTGGAACCTGCACTTCTATCACTTTGACCAGAGTAAGTTACAACTCTGAGGGCTTAGTTAGAATGATGGTGGTTGTTACAGTTCAATAGCATCTCTGTTTTCTTTGCAAGAATTACAAACACAAATTATAACTTTCATTCTGGCAATCTGGTACCTGTTCTTCCAGAAAGATCTCCAAATGCCAGGAAGTTCACTTTGAAATACAGACTATCCAATTGTATCCAATACACTAACATATATTCACATCAAAAGTTATGTTTGCTCTTGTGTTCAAAGGTAGTTTTTACTTCTTTATTATTGAAAAATCATAGACTTAAGGTGAGGTCTAGGTGACACAGAAGTTACAGGAGGTGATATAGTGGATTAGAAGGTAAAAATGATGTCTACCAATTTTAGATCATTCTGACCCAATATAATAAAATATCTTATATGCTTAAAAAAACTATAATTAATATTGTGATTTTAAAAATTTGTCTTTGGTTTTGCTTCTTCTTATTTGAAATATAGGGAGCACCAGGTGTCCCCGGTCAGCCAGGGGCCAGAGGTGATCCTGGATTCTATGGATTTCCAGGCTTGAAAGGTACTGTTTTTGTTCCGTCCTCTATGGTGCAAAGGCAATGACCACGAGTCACATTTTAGGGCACACAGATGTTTATTGAACCCAGAGTGTCAGAACAGGCTGGTTGCAAATAGGATGAATGAGAAGGAAGAATAAAGCAGGAAGACTACGCCAGCACCCAACCCCAGAGGCCTTAAAAATTAAACCATATCTTAAGGATGGAAACTAGAAAAGCTAAAAACAGAAACAGTTTGAAGTGGTGACCTTTGAGTGTACTGATGTGTGTTGGGCTAGAGAATGGGGAACTACATCAATAGCAACAGTGTTGCTTTGAATGATTTATTTTACTTTGTGCCTGTGTGATAATTTTAAAAAGATGAAAATCTAAAAGAATATTCACAAACTGATCATGGGGGAGGGTAAGTAAATTTTTATATGCATATTTAAGTGTTTGGTTTTTTATAGGGCACATGTATTATGTTTTTTAATCAGAGGAAACAGAATTTGGAGTTTTAACTTTAAAACATTCATACACATAAAATTTAAACTTCAGGTGTTCAGAAAATCCCCCATAATGGTACTATGACCTCAAATGACATTTTGAATATTGGATGTGTTGTCTGAGCAGGTTGAATCCACTGGGATTGTTTTGTGTGTGCAGGGAATTGATGATCATAGTATAAATAGATGCTAAATTAGTAATAACCAAAGTGAACAAAAGCACATTTCCATGAAAGATATTTTTTCAGTTCTGAGGGAGGACAAGGTGGAGGTCAAAGATAGCCTTTTCAGTTTTTCAATCACTGGCTCTTCAAAGAGCAAAATAACTAAGTCTCCAAAGAGAGAGATTCTGAGAAATCTCACACTAGCCGCTGGGTGGGTGAACACTGGCAGGCAGCCTGGGGAGGATGTGGACCATTTGTCACTCTTCCAAGTCTCAGAACAGGAACAGCTAAGACTTGAAAAATTATAGAAATGCTATACCAAAGAAAGAAATATTCTGGTGAAATATTTAGATGTATATCAAGGGCATGTGTGCATGCATGCTAGGTTGCTTCAGTCATGTCCGACTCTTTGTGACCCCATGGACTATAGCCCGCCAAGCTCTTCTGTCCATGGGATTCTCCAGGTAAGAATACTGGAGTGAGTTGCCATTTCCTCCTACAGGGGATCTCCCCGACCCGGGGATCGAACCCATGTCTCTTATGTCTCCTGCATTGGCAGCTGGGTTCTTTACCAGTGGCGCAACCTGCGAAGCCAAGGAAGATTCATAAAATAAGAAGTATTGACCAGTTCTTTTGAAATATGTTCCATGAAACACATTCAGTTATTCTCTTAGATGTCAGAATAAGACTGTCCATCATCTGGCACCACTAATGAGTTTGAATTCTTTATTTGTAAATTTTTATTCCCCAAAAGATTAGGCATCTTCTGGTAGATATAAGCAAATATAAACATATCCTCAAGTTCTGATATCAAGTGGATAATTTATAGTGTGATTGCCAGTTAACTTTTGATAATATAATTATTTTATTATATTTCTGCTATGAATATCATATTTAGTATTAAGTTCTAAGTAATTAGATGTTATAGCAACCCACTCCAGTGTTCTTGCCTGGAAAATCTCATGGACAGAGGAACCTGATGGGCTACAGTCCCTGGGGTCACAAACAGTCAAACATAACTTAGGGACTAAACAGCAACAATGTAGATATGATATGTACATTGTGTCAAGATTTTTAAAAAGAGTGTTTCTCCAAACCAGTGTTTCTTGGTAACTTTTTATTCATGTCAAAGACTGAGACAGAAACCTTAGCACTTTGATAGTTTTAATTAAACAAGGTATTCCATATGAGCTCATGAGAGTTCCTAATATAACTAACTTTGGGCTACTAGTAAAGCTAGAGTAAGAAGCCGAGAAAGTAGATAACTATGACAACCAATATAACTCACTAGGAAGTGCTAAAATAAGATTTAATGTCACTTCATATTTTACCTTAAATATTAAATTGGTTTCTGAACTTAAAAAGTAAGAACTCTTCCCCTTCAATGCTAAGATACTGGTACTTAATGCCTACTTCTAGAATACATTTTTAATAAACACTACGCATGACCAACTGGGTCCAAATGAAATGCTCCAACCCACATGAATATAACTAAGCCACAGTCCTAGTCACTGCAGCTCACAACCTCCAGTCATCAACCCCAGATCTCCCCTTAGAGGCAGTAATCAATCTGAAGGGCTAGGAACCCCATTGTTGTATGTGGAATGACATTGCCTTTTTTTGTTTAAGGGGAGAAGGGTAATTCAGGATTTCCAGGACCACCGGGGCCTCCAGGGCAAATTGGGCCAAAAGGACCACCTGGTAAATACATTATTTCCTTCATATTGCTCTCAGTGATGAAAGAGTAGCTCATCAGGAAAGCCATCATCCTCTTCTGTTCATGCTGATAGGTGTACGTGGAGAGCCTGGCACAGTGAAAATCATCTCCCTTCCAGGAAGCCCAGGCCCACCTGGTTCAGCTGGAGAACCAGGGATGCAAGGAGAACCCGGGCCCCCGGGACCACCAGGAGATCCAGGTGTGGGATCACTAGGAAGTCATGGAACCAAACTTCTTGTAAAGAGATTTGGAAACAAACGATACAACTTCACAGAAAATGTTATACATTATAGTGTTTTTAATAATCAGCTTTCAGTCATTTCAGTTCAGTCGCTCAGTCATGTCTGACTCTTTGCAATCCCATGTACTGCAGCACACCAGGCCTCCCTGTCCGTCACCAACTCCCAGAGTTTACTCAAACTCATGTCCAATGAGTCAGTGATGCCATCCAACCATCTCATCCTCTGTCATCCCCTTCTTCTCCTGCCTTCAATCTTTCCCAGCATCACGGTCTTTTCAAATGAGTCAGTTCTTTGCATCAGATGGCCAAAAGACTGAGCTTATTTTACTCTAGACCAGCAAATCAAAGACCTTTTGACCCTATTGACAACTGGTGTTTATAGTATAAAGTTGAACAAATACACTATAGGGCACTCAGGATTGTTTTTTATTAAGGTAAAAGTATGAAGGCTATCTTCTCTGAAAACTGCCAGTCTTAGAGCTCTATTTCTAAATGATTGCCTGAATAAACCCGAGTTCTATGTAAAACATTTATATCTTTCCAACACTTTGCACAGCACTTGGAAAATTAGTAAATGCAAATGTATTTACTATTATGAAATCGTTTAAAATTATTGGTGCATGGAAATTGAACCAACCCCTTTCTATTGGCCTAGCATATTGTAATAAGCCTCTGGATGGAATTGTGTTCTAGTTTCACCTGAATCACCTGAGAGATGAGAGATTTTATTACTTTGATCAATACAAGGGCATAGTGAATTCTAGAGTAGCATTAATCTAAATGGTAGCACAGTATTAAAGTGCTGTATTTCATATACCCCTAGTTCATTCGTTAGTCTTTTTTCTCTCCCTTGGGAAGTAGATTGTAGCATATTGGATAACCAGTTGTCCCAGTCTGCCCAGGGATGAGGGTCTCTTCTATCTGCAGGACTTCTGTTATTGACACTGGGAAAGTCTTGGCTAAAATGGGATGGTTGGTCACCTTGCCTTTTATCCTATGTGAACCATTCAATACAATGTTGGGTTTTTGCTTTAGGACCCTGTGGGCCAAAAGGTAAACCAGGTGAGGATGGTCCACCAGGACCTCCTGGACCAACTGGAGAAAAAGGCAACAAAGGTTCTAAAGGAGAGCAAGGTAAAACAAAACAAAACAAAACAGCTGGCTGTTCTTCTTCACTGAGGGAGAGCTATTCTCTGTATATAGAGAGGAAGGAGACTTGTTTGAACTTATGAGAACTCTAAATATTTCAGTGTGTGCTGTGCAGAGAAGACTAAGCCAAGGGCAAAACATTCTTTTTGAAATAGACAATCAAGAGTTATTGGAATATACCATTATTCCTATATCTTAACTGGGCAAATGTACTCCTCATTTTTAACCTGCAGGCTCACAGACTCATAGATGTAATGAAACACCAATTCTCTTTTCAGAAAAGCTGATACTATGTACTTAGTTAATAACATCTACCTCTAAGCATGGCACCTAATTTTTGATACGTACTGTAGAAAGTGATGATCTACTTATTTAAGATTAAGGTTTATAGATTTCAATTAAGAATGGGTTTTACTTATTGGCATGTTGATACACATGCATCTTATGAGATAAGAGCATGACAGAGTTAATAAAGCACATAGATTGATATAGAATTTGCAAACTATCATACTTATATAAATTTTTCTATTGTAAAATAAGTTAAAATCACCTTATAAATTCTCTTCAGTTTAATTTTTAGTATTAATCTAATTTACAACAGAAATATATGAACTGCACATGTTTTTTCAAAGAAAAGAAAAAGAGTGGCACCTAAGGCATAGTTGGAAGAATATTACTTTGATATGAATAGAAGAGCAACTTAGTATCATTATTCAGGAAAGCCATCTTCTAACTATGCCGTCCTTGAATACAATTCAAGAATTCAACAGGACATGTGTGTGTCCTGAAAAGGGGCCTCTTTTAAGTACATCAGGCTGAACATAAGCTTATATGTGTCAATTTGATATGCCTGAATCAAAGTCTACCTTCTGCAAAAGTTTCAAAAGCACCCTTCTAGAAAATATCTAAATGTCCAAATCTTATTTTTTAGGATTGAGTCTTTGTTAGAGTAAGAAAAAATTCTAAATGTGATTTCCCAATTCATTGACATATGCCCAGATCTACTATGACACAACTGTATGAAGATTAGATATTTGTCTTTAAAAATGCAAATATAATGCTAGCTAATAATAATAATTGCATAATTGCTCATGATTTAGTGCTGTCCTGACTGCACTTTAAGACACTATTAATCATTTGACTTTCATCAAAGTGTGTTTTTCAAAGTGGTAAAAACAAAACTCTTAATAATAATTATATGAATTTAAAAACTTTACTGGCCACATCTGGCTTCAAAATGGGGCCATAGCAAGATTGAGGATACCACAACACAAACTGTGTTGAGAATTACTAGCAAGTAGACATAGATGGTCTTGATGCTGGGCACCAAAGGGCAACATAGAGATGAAGAACTGATCTCAAAAAACTCATCATCAGATATACACAAATATTTATAACAAGAGGCATCTGTAATAAAATAGTCAACATTTAAGAAAGTTCTTTGGCCATTTTATAAACCATACTTCTTTAGGACTACTTTCTGTAGTTGAGGCTGAATGCTGCTGCTGCTGCTAAGTCACTTCAGTCGTGTCCGGCTCTGTGTGACCCCATAGACGGCAGCCCACCAGGCTCCGCCGTGCCTGGGATTCTCCTGGCAAGAACACTGGAGTGGGTTGCCATTTCCTTCTCCAATGCATGAAAGTGCAACGTGAAAATAAAGTCGCTTAGTCATGTCTGACTCTTAGCGACCCCATGGACCGCAGCCTACCAGGCTCCTCTGTCCATGGGATTTTCCAGGCAAGAGTACTGGAGTGGCTTGCCATTGCCTTCTCTGTGAGGCTTAATAAATATCTGTAAATCTTTGAATTAGTATTTCGGATAAACAAGTTTGCGGTTTTGTGCTGCCACATGTATAGTGTGTTTTTTAAAGGACCACCTGGATCCGATGGCCTGCCAGGCTTGAAGGGGAGGGCTGGAGACACTGGACCACCCGCAGCAGGGACAGCGATGAGGGGCTTTGTCTTCACCCGGCACAGCCAGACCACAGCGGTCCCCTCCTGTCCAGAAGGGACAGAGCCACTCTACAGTGGGTTTTCTCTTCTCTTTGTACAAGGAAATGAACAATCCCATGGACAAGACCTGGGTAATGCCCCCTGGTTAATTTCTATCCACTTTGTTCCATATACAGACAATACATTTTTATGGCATGGGGTACTTCCCTCTGAAGTTAAGTGTAAACAACCTAAATGTCTTTAGCACTTTTGTTTTTTAATTTTTACAATGTCGTGTTGGTTTCTGCCATACAACAATGTGAAGCAGCCATAATTATTCGTCCATCTCCTCCCTCCTTCCCCCTCCCCATCCCATCTTTACAGTTCATCACAGAGCGCTGCCCCACAGCGATTCCTCACCAGCTATCCATCTTACACCTGATAGTACACATCTGTATTCATGCTACTTTCTCCATCCATCCCACTCTCTCCCTCCCCTACTGTATCCACAAGTCTCTACATCTGTGTCTCCATTCCTTCCCTGCAAATAAGTTCATCAGTACTTTTTAAAGAGAGTAAATAAGACATTAACCTCATGTCTAATATTCATTCTGGACTGTAAGCTCTAGAAGGAGCCAATCTAGTTGGCCTTATTTAAAAAAAATTTTTTTTTTCACTTAAATAACCTGTTTGCTATTCAGGCTTAAAAGTAAGATCTGTTCCAAAGCTTGGCCTGGTTATTGGCCATCGTATACATATGAAGAACTGGGGATACTTTGAAGCAAAGACATTTTCTCAACGACCTCTGCTAGTCCTCAAGTTCTAGATGATTAGAAAGGGCCCCAGAAAGTGTTAAAGGTGGAAGAAGGAAGAAAGATTTATGTCCCTATTGGATCTTTAATTCCTATCAGTATTAAAACTTTTCAATCACACATTTTGCAAATAGCTCTTTTGTGTTGTGTTTCTCCAGTTTTTGCCACACATTATGTTTTAATTAGCTTCTATCTAGTAATGATACTCAAAATAATTGGAATTCACCGAAAGTGATACCCAGTCTGATGTTTTATTAGGAACACTTGGCAGCTGCCTGCAGCGATTTACCACAATGCCATTCTTATTCTGCAATATCAACGATGTATGTAATTTCGCATCTCGAAATGATTATTCATACTGGCTGTCAACACCAGCTATGATACCAATGGACATGGCTCCAATTACTGGCAGGGCCCTGGAGCCTTATATTAGCAGGTAAAATCCCAGTCCCTTAGTTTCATGATGGCAACAGGTGAACCACTTCCTTTGCCACAGAATGTAAGGCAGCACACCGTGGTGCAGAAAGTGGTGATGCACCCATATTTTTTGTTTCATGTTACAGATGCACGGTCTGTGAAGGTCCTGCAATTGCCATAGCTGTTCACAGCCAAACCACTGATATCCCCCCCTGTCCTGCTGGCTGGATTTCTCTCTGGAAAGGCTTTTCTTTCATCATGGTAAGGAGAAAAGGAACAGTACATTCATAGTAAACATTATCCATGGAATCTTACATTGGGCTGGATGAGATGTGGTCTCCAGGAATGATATTGTTAGACATCAGTATGCACAATCTGCTGTGAATATTTGCTTGAAAATCTGCAAATATGCTTTAAGTTTGTTTGTGTTTGTAAATAATGGAGCATTTTAAAAAACAGACTTCTCAGAAAGAGATTACCCACATATTCTAAGTAAGGCCCTTTAAAGTTCCTTATGAAGATGGGAACTAAAAGAGAAATAGCCTTTTAAAGAAAAATTCTCCAGATGCAAGTACTAAATGAAGAAATCTATGGATTGACATTTGTGATTTTGATACCTGCACAGATGTGGTTGGTGATTACTCATATTTTGTGTAACATCATTCATGATACTTTATTCTCCCTTCTCTACACAATCACTAATTCAACAAATATTTATTGAATGCCTACTCTGTGCTATGACCATTCTAGGCACTAGGATACCAGCAGTGAACCAAAGTTCCTGCTCTCATGGAGCTTCTTTCATAGTGGTAGAGATATAAGTGAGAAGACAACGTAACAATAGTAGTGCGTAATGAGCTCAGATGGTGAGCAGTCCTATAGAGAAAATAAAGCAAGATAAGAGGAGAGACTGATACGGATGAGGTCAAGGAAAGCTTTGTGGAGCAGGCCCCTGAATAGCAAAACAAGAACAAGTCAGACCTGGGGGGTGGAAAGCATTCTAGGCGAAATAAACAGCTTTTAGATTATTTTTGATGACTAGCCTTCATCTTGGAAGGTACCTGGAGTGTTATAGTAAATTTGGGTAAATAAGGACAAGAAGTTCAATTCATGCTTGCTTTCTTTTTTTTTTTTTTTTGGTCTTCTATTAAGAAAAAAAAAATTAGAGCATTGAAAGTGTGAGCACTATGCACAGGATTCTTATTTGGATCCTTTTCTTGTGACAGTTCACAAGTGCTGGTTCGGAGGGTGCTGGGCAAGCCCTCGCATCCCCCGGCTCCTGCCTGGAAGAATTCCGAGCCAGTCCATTTATAGAATGTCATGGAAGAGGAACATGCAACTACTATTCAAATTCCTACAGTTTCTGGTTGGCTTCATTAGACCCCAAAAGAATGTTCAGGTAACTATTCAAAGTTAAGTTTAATCTGATGACTCAACTGCGTAACTATTCAAAGGTTGCCTATGTTAGATTTTCATTCCCTGTGTGCTGATGTGCTCACATTAAAAAAAAATCTCCCTGTGCCAATAAAATCCTGTTTAGTTTGGCACTCCCAGTGTACAAGTGGTCTAGAGTTGACAAGTAGCCCTGGTTTGTGCTACTTTACCAATAAAGACCAAAAAATATTATTTTTGTCATTGTTAAAAATATTTAATATTGATATATGAATTTATAGACTACTGAATAAACTACTAAAGTGAAAGTGTTAGTTGATCAGTCATGTCTGACTCATTGCGACTCCATGGACTGTAACCCATGGACTGTGGCTCCTCTGTCTGTGGAATTTTCCAGGCAAGAATACAGGAGTGGGTTGCCATTTCCCCCTCCAGTGGATCTTCCCAACTCAGGGATTGAACCTGGGTCTCTTGCATTGCAGGCAGATTCTTTACTGTCTGAGCCACCAGTGGGCTCAAAAAAAAAAAAAAAAACTATTAAATGATCTACTGATTTTAATTTATCATTTTGGAAGACTTCTAAGTATTACAGAGAATTAAAAGGGTAGGAGTATTTTTTCAGAAAAAAAATCTGTAAGTTTGCATTTATAAGTTACTGCTAAATACAATTAAAATGATAAAGTGTTGACATATGTATCTTTTCAGAAACATACCTCCCTGAAATAAAGTTTAAGTGAGCTACCACATTTATTAACAAAACTCAGACCCAGGAAGTATTTCCCTTTTATCTATAAATTGATGAGATTTTTGGTGTTCTTTTTGCTTTTGCTTTTTATTTCAGAAAACCCATTCCATCAACTGTGAAAGCTGGGGAGTTAGAAAACATAATAAGTCGCTGTCAAGTGTGCATGAAGAGGAGACCATGAAGAAATAAAGAAAAAATAAAACTGTTACTTTTCATCCTAAATAACCAAGTAATATTGCAGAACATGCACTTATTTAAGTATCTTTCTCTCTTGGAACACCAGTACAAAGTTTCTATTTGTTTCCCCACATAACAAAGCCTTAAGTTAGTTCTGTGATACTGGTCTCTAAATCTGTACTGTGTCAAAGTTCCCTAAGGCAAAGCACTAAGCTTTTCACAAAGTATCACCAAAATCTTGTATTTCACTTTTATCCCATGCATTAAGTAAATGGTGATTGTATAAAGTTTGATACTACAAGTGAAGAGCTATTTGGTCCACTGGATTCCCAGGATTCACCCCCCTTTCTATTCCAATCTTGGAAACTCAGGGAGGCTAATTCTGTTTTAGATTGCCTGATCACCCTATTCCCAAAGCTAGACCCTGGGTAGGGAAGGGGATGAAATGGGATATTAGAGCATCATGAATAAACTGGACTTTCAAACCTGGTGAGTAATCTAAGACCTAAGGGAACCAGATTGAATTGAGGTTCATGGATTGTCTAGTGCTTTTTCAAACACACCCAAGACTAAGGCCAGAAGGGGGTTCCCCTGAACTGAATAATAATAGCCTTGGAAATACTGTATGGTTTTGGTTTACATTTTTTAAAAGACATTTTTGTTTGTCCATTGAATTCATTTTACTACAGCAATATAGCCTGCTTATATTCAAACAGATATAATTTTTACCCTTAGTAAATTAACTATACCCACACAAATAACAGATTCCTTGATGTGCACTTTATCCCCATCCCTATAAATGTTGGTGCATACCTTATAAACTAGCAGGTCAGCAACCCATGGAATAACTGAAGGCATTTGTTGGCTAATCAGGATCAAAATATTTTTCATTTTCTCTAAATATTCCATTTAACCTGGGTGTTCAGAGATGTATTCCCTTGTTAACTACATAATTCTTCCTTTGTTAAAGACATGTTTTTGATATTACATATTCTTATAAACCATTTGAAGAGTCCATTGTATAAAAATTTTGATGTATAAATTGTATAGTTTGGTGGTTTTATGTCTTAAAACTTGCTTTTCAGTGTGTTGATAACATTCCCAAGTTTACCTAATTCAACTTAAGATTTTATTCAAAACCAAGTCATATCCCAGGTGCTGCACTAAATTATAGACACTGAAAGGATGAAAAGAGACTTGTTTCTGATCCACTATCTCAGAGAAGGTAACTTACTGTTTCTATTAAGAATTCTACTTGTCTAAGTTGTTTTTCCTCCTTTTTTCTCTTTGTTCTTTTATTTCATCAGAATAATTCAGCAGGCCTCAATATAGGTTCAAAAATAATATTTACGCCCAGGGAAAGCGCAGGACATCTAGCTTCTCCTAGGCATTACAGAAGCCAAGGTCTGAAAATGTTAACAAAATGAAAATCTACAAAACCTTAAAGACCATTTATACTTGATAGTAGCACTATTTGATGAATCTCAGAGGCCAGATGTCCAGAGATAAAGCTCTGCAGATGCTTCTTAATCCACCGAGGTGGAGTTGGTGGTGCTGATATTTAAATTCAGGTTATTGCTTCAACCTCAGTTGCTTTGTAAATGAAGGTGTGACCCCAGAGGAAAGCACAGACTGTGACCTTGGTTGGCATCCTTCACTGCTCATGTGACTGCTTTCAAGCGATTTTTACATTTAAGCTGAGAAGTGCATTTTACTTAGATTATTTGCTTAGACTCACCTTATACTAAGACTTTTTTTTTTTTGCTTTAAATATATCCAACTTTTTTAATTGTACCATAATGGCATAAGGCTAGCTGATCTACACAAACCCTCTGTAGGTCAGCAATTCTCAAAATGTGGTCCCTGGACCAGCAGCATCAGCAGCATCTGGGTACTTGCCATCAATGCAAATGCTTAGCCTAGACATTTAGAATCAGAAACTCTGGGGGAAAGGCCCAGAAATGCATATTTTAACAAGCTTCTCCAGGTGATTTCTGATTGAGAAGAACTGTTCTAGGCAAACATCCAAGAAACTATTCTACAGACAGTTACCACTGTCTGTATAAATAAGGCCAACCAATATTGCTCCATCCATACCTCTCTTTAAAGTCCAAAATCAAAAGTGACCTCAAGGTCATCTAATTTTACTAATGAGTTAAAGCCCTATATTGGTGCTAATGGCAAATGACTGGCCTCTGCTTGTCCCCAGGCTCCCTCCTTTCTTGTCCCATTATCAGTATTTAACTTCTGAGGAAGACAAGTGATGCTAAAACATTAGATCCCAATGAAGCCATATTGAAAGTGGTTCAGTTCCCCTTCTAAGACTGAGCATTGAAACACAGCTCACAAGCATTACTTTCCAGATACCCATCAGTAGTTTATAAAGTTATGAAGATTTAACTTTGTAGATAAAATGTAAATAACTTGTTTCTTTTAAATCTGGGGCTTCAACTTTGGAATTTCACAGTGTGCTGAAATGATGGGTTTCTCAGAGGTGTTTTTGCAAGATAAACATTATTAAATAACTTATTTATAAAAGTATTACAATAATTCTAAATTTGAATTTTATTGCTAATTTAACTTACAAAGTTTTTTCTATGCATCCAGTGCAACTTACTGCTACTAAACTTAATTTAATATTTACTCTATAACCAAATGAAATATATTTAAAATATATTGAATATTTTATATTATTATATCTTGACAATTACAATGTTGTACTAATATTTCTGTAATTACACCTTAAATATTATGTTGTTGTATTGTCTAAGAATAAAATTGAAAAATTTATATCTGGTCTTATTTTTTTCAAAATATAAACAAATTAATTTTTTTGGATTGTAAAAATAGTATATGTTCACTGTAAAAAATAACAGTAATTATGAAGACTATATAAAAATTGCCATGATCTAACCCCTCACCCCCCTCCAAGAAAATTAAGGTATTATCATCTCAGACTTTTTTCTTGTGGACATATTTTTCAAATCAATAGGTGAGAACTAATCAGTATTTATATGGATTTCTCTACATAAATCAATGAATTGGATGATGTTTAGTTTTATTATGGATGTATTATGAACAATTTATTTCATATTTGTCCAATTATTTCCTCAGGATAAATCTCTAGGAGGAAAACTGCAAAAATCAAAGGAATTGTAATCTTAGGTCTTTGAAATATATATAATTTTTATACATATACATACATGTTCTCCAGAAACATTGCTAGAATTTCTAGTTGCATCAATACAATGTTATGAAAACATTCATCTCCTTATGCTTTTACCAATATTGGACATTGCTGTTCTTTCACAGTTTTGCCAGTCTCAATTTACATTTTGCTCATTATCAGCAAGGCTGAACATTTAGCACTTTAAATTAGTGTTGGGGTTTTTATTTATCTTAATTAATACTTGAGTTTTTTTTTTTTCCTGTGAAAGGCCTAATCATATCTTTATGCATTTCCTATTGAGGTATTTAAGGGGTTTTCATAAATCAAGAGGAAAAGGTATAAATTACAGAAGTTATGGATCTTAGATTTTGATGTTTCCCATTTATAATGCACCCTATTCAAGGAAAAATATTCATAAAATTTCTAAGGTAGAGAATTGGTAAAGATGAATGCCTTTAATATACAAAAATCTGAACTCTCTTAAGTAAGGTACTTTTGGGGTGTGTCAAATGACAATAAAGATATCATCATACGAAAACACAGAATGAATGGTGATGCTGGGTAATAATTCCAAGAAAACCAAGAAAACTGTTACCCAAATATTTAGAAACAGTTTCATAATTGGACCAAAAAATCTAATTAGAGAACATTTTGATCAAAAAGTACACTAATCCATTTAAATGAACTTATTTTTACAAGCAGAAGAATGAATGCTGCGTTGAGTCCATTCTCTCTACTTATAAGCCTGTTTAGAAAGAAAAGTCTTCTTCAGTCTCTAAGGGATTCCTTGTAACCCACTGACAGGGCACTTGCGGAGCACTTAGTGTGCCTCCTTCACCTCAGTCTTATCCCAGCTCTGCTTACTGGAAACTAAAAGACAACCAGACACAGAAGGAAAAACAACTGATTTTGAATCTTCATCAACATCGTTCAGTCAGTCGTGTCTGACTCTTTGCGACCCCAAGGACTGCAGCATGCCAGCCTTCCCTGTCCTTCACCATCTCCTTGAGTTTGCTCAAACTCATGTCCACTGAGTCAGTGATGCCATCCAACCACCTCATCTGTTGTCCCCTTCTCCTCCCACCTTCAATCTTTCCCAGCATCAGGATCTTTTCCAATGAGCTGGTTCTTGGCATTAGGTGGCCAAAGTACTGGAGCTTTGGCTTCAGCATCAGTTCTTCCAATGAATAGTCAGGGTTGATTTCTTTTAGAATTGATTGGTTTGATCTCCTTGCTGTCCAAGGGACTCTCAAGAGTCTTCTCCAGCACCACAGTTCAAAAGCATCAATTCTTTAGCACTCAGCTTTCTTTATAGTCCAGGTCTCACATCTATACATGACTACTGGAAAAACCATAACTTTGACTACATGGACCTTTGTTGGCCAACTGATGTCTCTGCTTTTTAATATGCTGTCTAGGTTTGTCACAGCTTTTCTTCCAAGGAGCAAGCATTTTTTAATTTCATGACTGCAGCCACCATCTGAAGTGAGTTTGGAGCCCAAGAAAAAAAAGTCTCTCACTGTTTGCACTGCTTCCACTTCTGCCATGAAGTGATGGAACCTTATACCATCATCTTCATTTTTAAATGTTGAGTTTGAAGCCAGCTTTTTTCACTCTCATCTTTCATTCATCAAGAGGCTCTTTAGTTCCTCTTCACTTTCTGCCATTAAGGGTGGTGTCATCTGCATATCTGAAGTTATTGGTATTTCTCCCAGCAATCTTGATTCCAGCTTGTGCTTCAGCCAGCCTGGTATTTCACATGATGTACTCTGCATGTAAATTTAAAAAGCAGGGTGAAAATATACAGCCTTGATGTACACCTTTCCCAATTTGGAACCAGTCTGTTATTCCATGTCCAGTTCTAACAGTTGCTTCTTGACCTGCATACAGATTTCTCAGGAGGCCGGTAAGGTAGTCTAGTATTCCCATCTCTTAAAGAATTTTCCAGTTTGTTGTGATCCACACAAAGGCTTTAGTGTAGTCAATGAGGCAGAAGTAGATGTCCTTCCAGAATTCTCTTGCTTTTTCTATGTTCCAACAGATGTTGGCAATTTGATCTCTGACTCCTGCCTTTTCTAAATCCAGTGTGTACATCTGGAAGTTCTCGGTTCACATACTATTGAAGTCTAGCTTGAAGGATTTTGAGCATTACCTTGCTAGCATGTGAAATGAGTACAACTGTGTGGTAGTTTGAACACTCTTTGGCATTACCGTTCTTTGGGACTGGAATGAAAACTGACCTTCTCCAGTCCTGTGGCCACTGCTGAATTTTCCAAATTTGCTGGCATATTAAGTGCAGCACTTTCACAGCATCATCTTTTAGGATATGAAATAGTTCAGCTGGAATTCCATCACCTCCACTAGCTTTGTTCATAGTTGTGCTTCCTTAGGCCCACTTGACTTTGCACTCCAGGATGTCTGACTCTAGGTGACTGATCACACCATTGTGGTTATTTGGGTCATTAAGATCTTTTTGTATAGTTCTTCTGTGTATTCTTGCCACCTCTTCTTAATCTCTTCTGCTTCTGTTAGGTCCATACTGTTTCTGTCCTTCATTGTGCCCATCTTTGCATGAAATGTTCCCTTGATATCTCTAATTTTCTTGATGAGATCTCTAGTCTTTCCCATTCTATTGTTTTCCCCTATTTTTTGCATGTTCACTTAGGAAGGCCTTCTTATCTCTCCTTGCTATTCTTTGGAACTCCGTGTTCAGATGGGCATATCTTTCCCTTTTTCTTTTGCTTTTTGCTTCTCTTATTTTCTCAGCTATTTGCAAGGCCTCCTCAGACCAGGCTCAATTTAACCATTCAGATAAATACTACCCTCTTTAGGTTTTTGGAGAAAATCCCATGGATGGAGGAGCCTGGTAGGCTGCAGTCCATGGGGTCGCAAAGAGTCGGACACGACTGAGCGACTTCACTTTCACTTTTCACTTTCATGCATTGGAGAAGGAAATGGCAACCCACTCCAGTGTTCTTGCCTGGAGAATCCCAGGGACGGGGGAGCCTGGTAGGCTGCAGTCCATGGGGTCGCACAGAGTCGGACACGACTGAAGTGCCTTAGCAGCAGCAGCAAGGTGTTTCTAAAAATAACACTGCTCAAAACCTTTTTAGAACTATTGCTTTGGAATTACCCTTAACTGCAATTTATCAGTCAAGTAAGGAAATAGATCTCATTACTTTATACCCAAGGCCTACAATATGCTCAATATGATTGCTCCATGAAAATAGTGCGATGAGTAAGATATAGACCTTGGTCTCAAACATGGAACTTATCATCTGGTAGGAGAAAATAAAGCAAATACATAAATAATTAGAATATGCAACAGAATGTGACAAGCACTGTAAGAGTCAAAAAACAATGGTTCATAAGTTGGAGGCCTCAGAAAATCACAAAAGTGGATATTTTAGGTGGTCTTTCAAGGTTAGTTAGAATTTTAAGAAACAGAAGTTGATCAGAGGCAGGATGGCATTATAGGTGGCAGAAATAGATAAAGGTAAGTATCAACAGTTTGAAAAGCATGAAGTAATCTCAGAGAACAATCAATGATCAAGAATATATACATGTATATCATTTATACACGTAGTAAATTAAGTGGCATGGCAGGAGGTGAGGGCCATATTAGAGTTTAGAACACCACGGTGAACTTGTACATCATTGGTTGGTATTAGAGACCCATTGAAGACTTTGAGCCAAAGAGTAGAATGATCATACAGATGGTAACATGGAAGATTCAATATTTCAGGATCACAATCTTCATTTGAAACTTATTTCAGTTTCCCTGGTGGGGAATGGACAGAAGTAAGAACCAAATTGTAAGTACTGAGAAGTAGAAAGATACTAGTGGAGCAGCAAGACCCTCATTTCTAAAGGTTTTGGTCATAGCTTATTTAGCGTGGTCTCTAAATTCCCGCAAAAGGTTGGCTTGGAATAGCTGATCATTACTAAGATCATCTGCACTTAAAGGATGATTTGTCAGTATTAAAAAGGGGCCCAAGAAGGAAATTCTCAGAGGACATCCTAAATTGTTTTAAAGAATGGGAACATCTCTAGATGTTACCAACATTCAACATTCAGAAAACTAAGATCATGGCATCCCATGCCATCACTTCATGACAAATAAGATGGGGAAACAATAGAAACAGTGACAGACTTTATTTGGGGGGGCTCCAAAATCACTGCAGATGGTGACTGCAGTCATGAAATTAAAAGACGCTTACTTCTTGAAAGAAAAGCTATGGACAACCTGGACAGCATATTAAAAAGCAGACATTACTTTGCCAACAAAGGTCTGTCTAGTCAAAGCTATGGTTTTTCCAATAGTCATGTATGGATGTTAGAGTTGGACTATAAAGAAAGCTGAGCTCTGAAGAATTGATGCTTTTGAACTGTGATGTTGGAGAAGACTCTTGCGAGTCCCTTGGATTGCAAGGAGAGCCAACCAGTACATCCTAAAGAAAATCAGTCCTGAATATTCATTGGAAGGACTGATGCTGAAGCTGGAACTGCAATACTCGGCCACTTGATGCTAAGAACTGACTCACTGGAAAAGACCCTGATGCTGGAAAAGATTGAAGGCAGGAAGACAAGAGAACGACAGAGCATGAGATGGTTGGATGGCATCACTCACTTGATGGACGTGAGTTTGAGCAAACTCCGAGAGCTGGTGACAGACAGGGAAGCCTGGCATGCTGCAGTCCATAGGGTCAAAAAGAGTAGGACACGACTGAGCGACTGAACTGAACTGAACACATCTAGAGTATCTTTAGACTCTAGAGAAGTACATACTCATGCGTGTATGTCTTTGGCTGTTTGTTAACATCGAAGAATACATATGTATTCGCCCCAGTGTTGACGAACAAAGTACTGACTTTCTCCTATAAAGTTAATGGTTATGTGGTTGTCTGCCTGCAGTGCAGGAGACCCCGGTTGGATCCCTGGGTTGGGAAGATCCCCTGGAGGAGGAAATGGCAACCCACTCCAGTATTCTTGCCTGAAAAATCCCATGGGTGGAGGAGCCTGGCGGGCTACAGTCCATGGAACGCAAAGAGTCGAACACGACTGAGCGACTTCACTTTCACTTTAAATGGTTAGACAGCAAACATTTCTTGGAAACTAAACAGGGAACTACTGTGAAACCGGGTTAGTAAAGCAGGTCAGGGCTAAGGACGACACAGAGGGCTTGAAAAATCGTGAAAATTGGAGTACAGTGTTTAAGAATCACGTGCAGAGCTGGCGAAATATGCAGATTATTAGGCCTCACACCAGTCCTGATTTTGATGCGGACAGTCCTGAAACCTAATTATTTAACTACCTACCGAAGGTTTACCTTTTAAACACGAGATGCGGTGGGCGTACTTTGCCCACAACAAAGATGTCGCGGAATCGCCGTCGCACAGCCCAGCTCCTCTGCGTGGGTCTTACGTCCGCCCTTCCTCGCGTCACATGACCACGAACCTGTCTCAACTACAGTTCCCGGAAGGGACCAGTCCCGGGCGTTCTCGCGTCTCTCTTTCGCTCCCCGCCCGCTGCGGGCGTCTCCGGCCGGTGATTTGCCCGGGCGCCTCCGTGCGCTCGGCCAACGGCCTCTGAGACCGCCCACCCAAGCACCCCGGGAGCCGGCGGGAGGCGGCCCTCGCCGGGGACCCTCCAGCGGGCCCAGGGGTGAGTGCTGACGTCTTCCCGACCCGGGACCCGGGGCCCGGGGCCCGAGCCGGATGCGGGGCCTAGCGCCGCGGCCGGGATCCTCCGGCGATGGAGGGACCGCCTGGGGCGCCAGCCGGTCCGTGGTGCGGTCTTGGCCTTCCCTAGGGGCCTCCCCGCTTCCAGCCTGACCTTTCCTCCTCCTCGGGGCGTTGCTCCCCCCTTTAGTGTCTGAGGAAAGCACGGGAGAGCCGCGCACCCTGCTGCAGTCGTCCTGGGGCTAACCTTTTCCGCTTTAGTTCTGTGCCTTCGTTTGGTCGAAAAATTGAGTTTTCCACGTAGAAAATAGTTTCTGGCGTGGGAAACCCTAAGGGCGTCCTGAGAGCTTCAAGCGAGGTTTGAGTGATAGTCTCCTCTCATGCTTCCCAGCCAAGGTCCTGGTACCTTCCAGTATGACCTTGAACCCGACGCCTGTCTCTTTGAAAGTAGTTTTTGGTTTGTTTTTGCTTTTACTTTATGTGTGGGGAGGCGGGACGTGTTGGAAAAGAAAGGCCTTTGTTGGAAGCCCAGGCGCCCCGGGGAGGCCCCTGGTCGCGCTGATTAGGAAGCATCCTTGCTGCAGGTGTGGATGTCGGGAGATGGTCCAGCGTTTCCTTCCAGGAGCTGGAAACTGGAGAAAGCTCGGATTCACCTTCCGTCAGCGTGTGACCTTCTTCGCCTGCAGGACGAGTTCCCCTTCTGTGGTAGAAGAAAACCCCTGGCTGCCTCCTACGAGAGGCATTCTCGAGGGAGGAGAACCCTTTCAAAAGTGGCGTCTTTTAGTTGCAGAAGATAGAAAGCCTTAGCGCCTTTGTTTCAAATATAGAACCAGTTGTATACAGGCCTCACACCCCACAGAGAGACTTTAACTGAAGGATCTTAAATGTTTTCTCTCCCTAGATGGAAAAAACGGTCCTTTTGGTGTTGATTGCATCACCTAATGAGATCCCAAAGGAAAAACCCTTAGGAAAATAGATTCGGAGAGAATTAGAACGATTTAGTTGTACCTCGGAGCCTCTGCCCGTGTAATTAAATTGTGTGTGGGACCTGCTATCTTTTTGGTTGCAAGCACTTGTGAGTTGGTTTTGCTCTTTTGTTGTTTTTTTTTTTCCCAAAGGAAATTGTGTTTTCTATCCCTTCCTGTCTGATAGGGATACCGCATTTTATGATTACGAAGTTTAGCGGTTACTGTCTTCCCTTGTGGTGTTGAAACTTGTTTTCTGTGGATTGATAGCCTTATTTTAAAATTCGTTAACTAGTATTTTCCCAACTTTTCAGTGACTTTAAAAATAAAAATGAATCTTGGGTTACTACGCTGTGATTTTCTTATACACCCATTATTTAAATATGAAAGTGAAAGTCAGTCATGTCCAACTCTTTGCGACCCCATGGACTAGTCCATGGAATTCACCAGGCCAGAATACTGGAGTGAGTAACCCGTTCCTTTCTCCAGGGGATCTTCCCAACCCAGGAATCGAACCCAGTGCTCCCAGATTGCAGACGGATTCTTTAGTATAGATGCTTGAAAAGAGAACTGAAATAGGGTGACTGGTATAAAAGCCTTGAACTAGGTCCACACAGTAAGTGACAAACAACCTGACATTATTTTAGTATTTGGGGAATTATAGAAATCTTTATTAACCACAATCAGTTTGACCCAAGTTCTTTCTGTGACTTCCTGGGCTGTTTCTTTCGATTCCAGCATTCTAATATAGAAAATGGGAAGGTAAGACCCACTGCGGTATTGTAAAGTGATTAGCCTCCAACTAATAAAAATAAATGAAAAAAAAAAAAGAAAATGAGAAGGTAAAGCTTGATTCATTCCCCAAATTGGGGACACTTTCCGTCACGGGAAAGTGGATGTGACTTGACTAGGTGGTTTGCAGGTGAGGGGTTTTTAAGAGTTAGGTTTTTGTTACCTGTTTTTGTATGTGTACATTAAAGGATTTTGTCTCTTTCGTTATAACACAGAGACTCAGGTGCCTAGTAGATTGTAAGTGACAAAACTGAAGTTAATGTCTTAACTCCAGATGAGAAATTTATTTTCTTTTTTGCTGAAAAGATACTACCAAAAATAATGAGAGAGAGAAAAAAAATGAGATTTTGATCTAATTTACTTAAGCAGAAAAGCCAGTAATTGGAATAGTACAATGTTAAATCTTAGTAGAAAAGTTTAATCTACCTTGTAAGTAGTTCAGATTGGCTACAGGAGAATTTGGCTTTTTCTAGAAGTTGTCTTTTCAGTGTCCATCTTTGGTGATTTAAATCCATGATACTTGACAAACTCAGAAAGTCTTGTAAGCAAAGATGTTGCTGTATAATGAAATGTTGAGACCCCTGGTATGTAGTAGTGGAAAGTTAATACGAAGGTTGAAATGTAGTAAATGGAGTGAGGAGAATAGCACATTTGGGGGAGATACTATTCTAGCAATTTGCATCCCTTGTTTATTATTATAAAATTTCAGTTTATAATGTCTTAAGGCTGTACTCCTTTTGAAGTGTCTCTTTCAGTGTTATTTCCAAATACAAGCTTTTACTGTGCTTCAGGTACATGTATATGTAAGTATAAGAAGGATATCTCATTTCTTATTTGGAATGATGCACAGAAATTGATGAGAGGCTACCTCTGGGGACCTGAGTTGTTACATAGTATAGGATCTGTGGGACACTTCATTGTTCTGTATCGTGTACCATGTGCATGTGTTACTGGTTCAAATTAAATACTGAATGAAAGTAGCTGGATGAAAATTTCACCACTGCATTTGTTTCTTCTTAATTTGTGTATGTATATATACACACATACATGCCTAAGTATTAAGATTGTTAAACATATATATATTTCATCAGCTATGTTTTTCTAAATTCAAATCAGAAACAATAATCTTTTATCTTGCATTAACTAGTGAATGGTTGTAGGGCTCTGTCTCCAGGCCTAAAATTGGTGGTAAGTTTGTTCATTTTTTTCTTTATTTATTTTAGTGGGTTTTTTTAATGTAAGGCTATGCATCTTTAGTTGCTTTCATCATTCAGAGGATTTCCAGCAATGAATCTCTGATATCAGTATCATCTAGTTTTTCAGTTAGCTCTGTTTTTTTTCTCCCCCAGGGACAAAAGTGGCTCTAAATCCAGCACGTGCGTACTGAGGCAAGTTAATGGATTTAATATGAAGCACAGAAGCAGATAATGCCAAAGAGCAAGCAGTAATTGGTACACATTTGTGAGTAAAAATTTTCTCTTTTGGGTCTGTTGTGTTAGTCTTTAAACCATTTGCATGCCAGATCCTTAAAATTCACACATTTTGGTAAAGAATAAAAGGTGCAAGTTAGAATTCATAATTACCAATTGTCAGGGTTTAGCCCCTTAACCAACCTCTAAGAACTCTCCAAAGCATGTCAGTGACGTGGAGTTTGAGATGTGTGATGTGTCTCTGACATGGAGTTTAAGAAATGTCCCCACTGTGACTTAAATTTATACTCCTTAATTTTTTTATTGTCTTTAATTTTTATTGACCTTGACTTAAATATAATATCTTTCACTGGAAACTTAGTGTAATTTAGCTTTCAAAGTTATTTGCTTTTAAAGAAATCATTACTTATACATCAAATATTAAGTTACCGCAAATACATCTTTCTGCCCTTTACATTATCTTTGTGATTTCTTCATTTTTACTTAGTCTAAAAAAGAAAAGGACTTCCCCCCCTTCAGAATATAATACTTAGAGGAATTTTGTGACAAAATGTTCTCTTCTAATCTGACTTCACATTTGTATATATGTTTGATTAGCTTTTCTTGATCCTGTTTGCAAAATCATACTATAGTGACTATGCCTAAAATGGCCCTTGTGATCTTTGAAGTAGAGAAGAACTCTTTTTAGGAGAGATTTGAACATTGGTTTGGGTTGAAATCCAAAAATAATTTTAAGTAGATATTTACTTTGATTCACAGTTTTCATATGAAATGAATTGTTGAAATACTGATTGTTATTCTTTCTTTTTTACAGCTGGAAAAGCAGTGTCCGTGTTGTTATGTACACCTTCAAAAAAGTTCAGATCTGTAGGGGAATTGTTGTGTAAAGTAAACAACTCCAGGGTAGCAGTACTTTAATAGCTTTTATAGACGTGTATTTACTGTATTAAAAATGAGTAAAAGAACAAGCAATGACACATCACTAGGAAGGTCAGTGACGTTTTATTCAGTTGAGCTGGTATTATAGGCTTGAGACATAATGGCTTTAAAGCTGATTGCCCACGGGCTAATCATCTTTTACATTTTGATCAACATTTTTTATCTCGGGCAACTTCCTTTCTGCTACCTTTCCTTGGAGCATGGATTCTTCTCTAATTTAGAAGATTTCGCAGTGCATATGTTTTGCCTTTCCCTTTGAAGGCATGTCATGTTTTTAAAAAATATACATGCAAATATGATATTCAGTACAAATGATGAATAGTGTGAACCTTTCACACTATGGTCCCTCAACATGAATGCATACATTAAGGATTTATTAATGTATATTCTTTATTTGATTTTCAAAATCTCATCTCAGTCATCAGGTGTAAATTCAGTAAGAGAAGTTTTAATTTGTATTTTGTGAAACTCAGGGGGTTGCTTCTTTTTTAGTAAATTTAGAATTAGCACTATTTACCTTCTGAATCTGATTTTCATCATTAAAAAATTTTATTTTTTCCATGCATGATAGCAGTTTCTAATTTCATTTTTATAAAAGTCCTAGCAGCTTCCCTTCAAATAATTCACTAGGAAATTTCTATTTGAGTTTTATTTTCAGCAGTTTTTATTTATAAGCAGCATGCCTATCTGTTTATGCAACGAGGAAGAGAGAGTGTATGTATGTGCATATTCATGTTGTAGTTATACACAAATTTTAAAAATTTGCTCCTAAATAATAACCTCAAGGTGCAACTTCAACTAAGTGGGACGGTATTATGTTGAGAAAAGCGTTTTCTTCCATCTTGTATTTTTCCTTTGTATGTGCTCAGTACTCACAAACGAGAAGTCTTCTTGTGCTTTTTCTAAAAGGTATTGTCTTCTAACTCACTACATAGAGAAGACTGGCATGTTAGCGCTTATTCACTCCGTTCTGTACATTTTTTGCCCACAGAGTGAGTGGGGCCGCCTTTCCTTCTCCCACTGCTGCTGAGATGGCGGAAATTAGTCGAATTCAGTATGAAATGGAATACACTGAAGGTATTAGTCAGCGAATGAGGGTCCCAGAAAAATTAAAGGTAGCACCACCAAACGCTGACCTGGAGCAAGGATTTCAAGAAGGAGTTTCAAACGCTAGTGTGATCATGCAAGTTCCAGAGAGAATTGTGGTAGCAGGTATTTTATATTTGTTTATAAAGTTGTCCAATAAACCTTTATTTTATGTATTTTTATTAAAACTTTGGGAACTTTTCAAAAGATTTAGAAAAAGGATTGGGGCCCACCCCAGTATTGTTGCCTAGAAAATTCTGTGGACAGATATAGTCCATGGAGTCACAGAGTCGGACACAACTGTGCAACTGAGCACAGAAAAGGGATTGAGAGATGCAACTTTACATTTTCTTCAAAAAGTGTATTAATTACCATAGTCTGAAATTTCAAATAGTATTTGTTAATAGTTCAACTAATTATTCAAGTATGATTTGCGTACATAAAATGTGTGTAATTTTAAAGTGTATAGCCTGATGATTTTTGACGAAAGTATACTCCTGTGTAACCTCTACCACAGTCCAGATACAGAACTTTTCATTATCCCACCCCAAACGGTTTTTTATTCAGTTCTTACCCCTCAATTCCAGGCAACCATAATCTCCTTTTTATAACCAGAGATCAGATTTATCTTTCCCAGAGTTTTGTATGAATAGAATGATAGCACTTTATTATATACTCTTGGGTCTGGCTGCTTTTGCGTAGTGTTACATTTTTGAGAGTCTTCCATATTATTGCTTGTATCGATTGTTCTTCCATTTTATTTCTAATATCCCACTGTGTGGATATACCACAAGGAGCTTATATATGCACTTGTTGGTGGACATTTGAGTTGTTCCTTTTTTAGTGCTATTAAGAAGAAAGCTGCTATGAAGACACATGTTTTCATATCTCTTAGGAATAAGTTGCTAGATCACATTATAAGTTCTGACTTTTAACTTTATGAACAGCTGTCAAACTATTTGTGAAATTGATTGTACCCTGCTATGTTCCCATCAGTGACATATGAAAGCTCCATTTGCTCTACATCCTTGCCAATACTTTGTATTGTTAGCCTTTTTAATTTTAGCTATTCCTGGTAGGTGTGTAGTGGCAAATACATTTGAATAAAACCAGTATCTTTTTAAAAACCTCCCTCCTCTGTATTGTTTTTACTCTCAGGAAATAATGAAGACATTCCATTTTCAAGACCAGCAGATCTTGACCTTATACAGTCAACTCCCTTTAAGCCTCTGGCTCTAAAAACACCACCTCGTGTGCTTACACTGAGTGAAAGGCCGCTAGATTTTCTGGATTTAGAAAGACCTGCTCCAACCCCTCAAAACGAAGAAGTAAGTATTGGAGCTTTAACAGCATCTGAACTGGAAATAACATAGACAACTGCAAAAGTTAAAGAGGCGTCAAGAGCCTATAAATCCTGTCATTAGTAATATGTAATGATACCCTTCTACATGGGCCATGGATTGCTATAAATTCTGGTTTATAGATACTCGAAATTAGATACTGTGCCTTTTTTTTTTTCAATTTAAACATCATATTTCAGGAAATAGACAATTTTGTGCAAGGCATTAACAATCATGGGGTCTTGAAGGAAGAGCTTTTATGGCTAGGAGTCACTTTAAGCAATACAGAAAATTTGGAGAAGTTTAGCATGGGAAAAAATTAACACATCATTTTGTTAGGAAAGCTGTCTGGCAGTTGGCAAAAGCTCTTTTTTTCCCCTTGACACTACCTGTTCTCTTGCTTTCTTCAAAGTTTTACTGAGTTACCATGTTTTGTAAGGTTACTAGCCCTTTTGACCTAAATATGGCAGTGTATGGACTAATAAGATGTTAGTAGCAAAGTTCAGATTTTGCCTTTGCTGTTGATTTAGGGCCAGTCTTGTAAAACTCCTTTGCTGTGATTTCTGTAGTTGCAACTTTTTCATTTTAATTCCTGAATTCCTATGTTGTCATGATTCTAGTAAAAGGCAATATGCAAAGATAAGTTTTTATTGATAATGAAACTGCCTTTGTCTTTCATCTTTCATACAGTCCTTCCTAAGAGAGTACATCATGCACATAACCTACAGGAGTGCAGTTTCCCGGTACTAGGTATAGCCTTTTCTTAGGCTGGAAGTTTCTGCTGAGGTGACTCAGATAATACACTTAGAGGTGCCAGTTTAGACATTCCGCATATTTGCTTGATGAAAAGTACTAAATTTGAGTCTTTACATGATGAAAAGGCCCGAGGTGCTTGCAGGACTGTATTTAACAGACATCTTCTGAGCTTTTGTGTAAGACAGTGCAGTGAGACACGCTTCCTTCACAGTGGTCTGAGTGAGGGAAAGACCCTGACGGCTGTGAGTAATACTGTCTTGGAATGAGAATTCTGCCAGAAGAGAAACCCTCCCTTTGATATTCCTTTAGTTTTGTTTGCCTTCTGATCTTCATGATCCCACTGTTTTAGACACTGCTTGGTGTGAATAACCAGCCTAAAAACAAGCTGAGCACTGTCATGAGTGACTATTTTTTAATTAAAATAATGTTTTATTTTAAAATAATAAATAAGTGGCACTTATGTTTTTATATAAATCACCCCCTTTTTTCTGAATGATTAAGGATGAGTGACAGAAAATTTTTTACCAAGATTTCCCTCAGTAGACCTAGATTCTAAGCCTGTGTGAGGTTTACTCCTGCAGTAATTGTGATATTTAGTCAAATGTGATAAATGTCCAAAGTGTATAGCACTGAAGCGAAAAACTGAGCCTGAGAATTAGTCTTAATTTTGAGGGCCTACTCTGCTGCTTACTAACCACATAACTTTCGTCTAGTTCTTTAACTGTTCCAAGGCAAGGCTTATCTCTAAAATAAAAGAAGAGAATAATGCCAAGTACATAAGATTATTAAGAGAATTAGGTGTAATAATAGGTATAGTATGTTTAGCACATGGTTCTAATTGACGTTTAAAGATCAATAGGTACAAATATCATTGTTATGAAAGTTAGCATCCTCTGGCAAGAAATATGGAAATAAGTGTCTTATCAATAGATGAATGGATAAAGAAAATGTGAGATACACACAGAGAAACACACAGATACAATGGAATACTACTCAGCCATAAAAAGAAAGAAATTTTGCCATTTACAACAGCATGGATGGACTTGAAGGGTATAAGGCTAAGTGAAATGAGTCAAGAGAAAGACAAATACTATATGATATTACTTATATGGGTAATCTAAAACATGCAACATACTAGTCTCCATAACAAAAGCAGCAGACACAGAATAAACTAGCAGTTATTAGTGGAGGGGTCGGCATTAAGAATTGGGGAGTGGGAGGCACAAACTATTGGGTGTAAGATAGGCTACCAGGATGTATTGTACAACGCAGGGAATATAGTCGGTATTCTGTAATAACTATAGAGTGTAACTTTTCAAAATTATATGAAAAAAAAATAGAACAGACCATTATAGGGGAAAATACTAAGGCATCTGAGCAGATTCTTGAGGGAGAGATAAGATCTGAATAAATCTGGAGAACCAGTAAACAAAGACCTCATGGACATTGATTTGTCCAGGATTCGTTTTTATATATAGATACCTTCAAGTGATTTTGACTTTTGGTTTAACTGTAAAGAACTCTTGCAGTAGGCTCCAAGCCAACTCCTTTTCTGTTTTTTTTTTCTTTTGTTCAGATGGATAAGTGGTTCATAATCATAACCAAATCTATGTGCCGCTTAGTATGATTTTAAGTTTTGTTGGCATGAAATACAGGATTTTTTCTGCTCTGATGGTGCTTATAGCCTGATGATCTAGTCCCAAGTCTTTTTTAAGAGCATTAATGGATACTGGGTTTGCATTTTTGAGAATGTTAATCTTCAGGCCTGTTCGTTCACACACCAGTTGTCATTTACAATAAAATCTAAATTTTTAACCATTAAGTTGCCAGAGGTGTTTCCAGTAAAAAAAAAAAAAAATTATTTTTAAGCAGAAAAGTTCATGATTACCATTGTTTGTTATCTCCTGTGTGTGTGTGTGTTAGTCACTCAGTCGTGTCCGACTCTTTGTGATTCCCATGGACTATAGCTTGCCAGGCTCCTCTGTCGATGGAATTCTCCAGGCAAAATACTGGAGTAGGTTGCCATTTCCTTCTCCAGGGGATCTTCCCAAACCAGGGATTGAACCTGGGCTCCCACATTGCAGGCAGATTCTTTACTGTCTAAGCCACCAGGGAAGCCCCAGTTATCTCCTGCTGCCCATTAAACCACCCTCAAGTTGGTGGCTTGAAATAGAAAGAAATTGCTTATTTTGCTCATGGATTTTTTTGGGTGAGGTATTTGCATCAAACATAGTGGGGAAAGCTTGTTTCTGTCGTATATTATCTGGGCCCAGGCTAGGAAGTCTCAAAGGCTCGGGATGACTCAACAGCTTGAGGCTGCAGTCATCTGAAGGCTTACTCACTCATAGGTCAGTTGATACTAGCTATTGTGTAGACCTCGGCCAGGGTTATTGACTGGCATAACTGTACATGGCCTTTCTGTCTGGCCACTTGGGTCTTGGTGCTGTTGTTCCAAACAATGAAAGGGAAAGAAAGCAGAAGCCTTAGTGTTGTTTCTCACTTAACCTCAGAAGTCACATTTATCATCTCTGTAGCAGTCACTAGCCCACCTAATTTCAAGGGAAAGAAACATAGATTCATCCTTTAATTTCATCTCTCTAATGGAAAGAGATTTTATAAGAAGAGCATGTAAGGTGGAAGATTGTAGCTATTTCTAGAATGCTAAAACTTTTAAGCCTGTGAGATTTTTTTAGTTTTCAAATATCTAATCTGAATTTGTTTTAACCTCAGAAGCCTTATTTGTAATATTTACAAATATATCCCATTTCCTATAGTGTAAGTGCCTTTAAAAGCTGTTGTGAATTGTTGGTAAGTAATGTAAGTACTGATGCTGGGAAAGATTGAGGGCAGGAGGAGAAGAGGATGACAGAGAATGAGATGGTTAGATGGCATCACTGACTCAATGGACATGAGTTTGGGTAAACTCTGGGTGTTGGTGATGGACAGGGAGACCTGGCGTGCTGTGGTTCATGGGGCCGCAAAGAGTTGGACACAACTGAACTGAACTAAATAAGTTTATTGCATAATTATAATAAATAAAAATATTAATAATTGTACCAGGTAAGATTGAGACTTAAAAAGCAACTACAAGTCACTATTTTCATAAAGAAGATAAGCATTCCGAAGTTTATCTGCATTATAGTAAGTAGAGGCTTTTTTCTTAACATGCCCTGCATATAATACACACACCAAGTAGCAATTCATGGTTGTGTTCTTTTTTAATTTTGTGAGTAGTCTTAGATTAAGGTCCTTTTAATGCTAAGCAACTACTAGACTACTAAGAATATTTTCTGTTCCTTTCCCTTTCTTTGTGCCTAACAGATCCGTGCAGTTGGCAGGCTAAAAAGAGAACGCTCTATGAGTGAAAATGCTGTTCGCCAAAATGGACAGCTGGTCAAAACTGACTCCATGTGAGTAGAACCACTAAGCATTGTATCTCATTCATAAGTTGTCTCTATACACTGCCTGTCCCATCCTTTTCTAAATGATTTACCTACTCTCAAATATCTAAAGAGAAAAAAAAGGATGAAGTGTATGTTTTATACCTAAGAACCTGAAGAAAAAAGTCATTTACTTCTAATAGTGTTTGCAGTTTATCATGTAATACATTTACATCAGTTTTATATTTTTGTAGTACTCTTCATAACCTTAAATTTGGGGAAGAAACAAAATAAAGCATAAAAACACTTTGTTAAGGAAACATTTTCATTTTCAGGTTACTTAATTTGTGATTAGGTTGTAAAAGGACTAGCCAGCTCTGCTTCTAATGAGCCATGGTAAAGAATATAGCATAACCAAATGGCATCGTTTTTGCGTTCCAGGATTATTTTTTTAGCTCTCTTCCTATTGAGTCACAGAATTCTTAGACCCTTCTCATTTTCTAAAAATTTAAGTACATTGTTTAAAGGACTATTTGTGTAAACCTTTCTTTCTCACTTGATTATGTTATCATACCCTGATCTTAAAAGCTACCCCTACCATAAGATGTTTTAAATTGGACAAGTGATTTTTGTTGTTTTACTAAAATTGGTGTTTTAAAATAAAATATCCCTTTAAAAACTGGTCAGAATTTTTTAAGTCTCAAAGCCATTGGTGATTTAAATTATATAAATTACTGTTTCTTCCTCATTAAATTTTCAACTTTCATGAGCTCATTTATCATGAACCTGATTTGATGTCAGATACCATGTTAATCTCTCTGGGAACTAAGAAAGAATCAGGAGGTGATATTGTCTCTCACAGCTTGCAAATCTAGATAAAAAGCAAAACATTTAAACTTACATGGAAATACAATTACACACAATACAATTATGCCATTTGTATTAAACTGTATGAAGTTTTAACTTGGGCTTGACTAAAGAATATAGGGATGCAAAAGGGACTTTGATGGGGATTGAGTCTCTCTTTTTTTGCATTAGGTGCAAAGGAGAACTGTAACTGTTTTCATTTCTTGGGGAATCTTGAAATGCCTCCTAAAGTAGTTACAGTTATTCTGAAGCATTTTATAGGAAGATAGGAAGTTTGAAAGAATATATGTCTCCTTCAGGGAAGGCTTATCTGAAAGGTTCAGCCATTTTTAATAATGAATTTTTTTGTGATAATTGTATGTTTTCCTGCAGGCCCATGGCTGGCAGTGATAGCCAGTCCATGGAATTCCTTTTTCTAGACTATGTTAAAATATGTTACACAAGTGGTGAAAAGATTACCTAATTTATGGTGAAGGTAGCTTCTTGATGTTTAGAACCCTCTCAGAATGATTAAACATAGACCTAAGGGCTTCTGTTATTTTCTATTTGTAATATTTTTGAGGGCACCAAAAGTTTCTAATTAACTTTCCTGTTATATAAAGATATTGCTTTTTATTTAGTCCATGATTACTTTGAAATTTCCCATAATGAAATAAAAATAGGACTATTTTACTATAGCATCACTTTTGATTTTTTCCCTCACAAAGTATATATTACTGATAGCTAAGTTCAGTTGACAAGAAAGGAAACGGCTCTGCTCTATAATACATAAAAACCAGGCTTGTGAAGCATGAGCTAGAGTGAATGACTAGTTCATAGATACTTTTGCAGTTACCAGTGATGAAAGTTCCTCAGAAAAGATGAACAAGGTTAGCTAATATTTGAGTTCTTTGTTTCTTTAAGTCCCTTGAAAGGCATTTTTTAGATCAGGGGTACCCCAGTCCCCAGGCCACGAACCAGTATTTGGCCGTGGCCTGTTAGGAACCAGGCCACGCAGCAGGAAATGAGCAAACCTGCAAAGTTTCATCTGTATTTACAGCCACTCCCCATCGGTCACATTACAGCCTGAGCTCCACCTCCTGTCAGATCGGTGATGATGTTAGATTCTCATAGGAGCACAAACACTAACCCTAGCATCAAGGCAGAATGTCCTGAGATTGCCACAAAATAGAAATAAAGTGCACAATAAATGTAATGTGCTTAAATCATCCTGAAAACATCCCCGCCCCTGCCCCTCTGTCTGTGGAAAAATTGTTCCATGAAACCAGTCTTTGGTGCCAAAAAGGTTGGGGACTGCTATTCTAGATGTTTAATAAAACAGAATCTCATGTTTTAATTTTTGGTTGTAAAAATAGCATGAATGTTCAACTATACAATTTTTTGCAGTAGAATGCTTACCTTCCTTAACCATACTTTTTGTTTTGGTAGTTATGTATGTTACCATGGTAAGATACTTAACCATCTTTTTGTTGATAGTGTGACCTTGCCCTTTCTTCTGCTGCTGTTATTAATTTTATTATTTATAATTGTATTCATCTTTAAGAATCTACATTTGCTAAACTTTCAAATTTTTATATAATGAGCAAATTATGTATTTAATGCTGGTAATATGGTAAGGAAGAAGCTATTAACATGGTTCAGCTGTATTTTACCCCTACCAAAGTAATCATTGGACTCTTCCTATCTTTACCCACTTGAGCCTTTTCTCTGTGATCTGATCTGATTATGTGTCATTGTGCATGAACCTTTGCCTGCCTCCACTTTATTTTATTCTTTGGATTTAGGAATAGAAGTCCATAGGGGTATAAGAGCAGGAGCGCTGACCTTGTTCTCTCACTTACTTTTTTTTTTCTCACTTACTTTCAGAGAGACAATAGGGCTTATTATTGACACGAAAATGATCAGTAGATTCGTATTTAGCTTTTTTCTTTGTGTTATAAAAGCTGAATATGTAAAAGAAGCATAATTATTATTTAAGGTGGCACAGATCAGATTCTGCCCCAAGAAATAAAATTTCAAGGTTCCAGGCACCGATTTCTGCACCGGAGTACACGTAAGATTTTATCTGTCTGCTCTGCTTTTCACAATTAGGAGTTGTTTTAATTTTGCAGGCTTATGTGACACTAATATTTCACCAGGTAATCGGCATGTACTGCCCTAATTCTCTTACTGTTTGGCTTTTAAGTACCTCTGTTTCAGGATTTCTCAAGCTGTTATCATACACTTTGTTAAAAAAAAAAAAAAAAACTAGATCAGCTAAGGAAGTTATGTATGATTTGCAGTATAATGGTGAAAGTAGAATGGAATAATTCATACCAAAAATCCTTTCTAGTTTCTTTGCTCTCATTGGCATATTAGTTCTCTGTGGATCCAGTTCAATCAGATTCAGTGGTTTCAATCTTTAAAAAATTTTAGCACACTATCTTTTATTGTTTATTTTCACTCAGAAGGAGAAAAGGAGTCTAATGAGTCATTTAAGTTTTTTTTAATTCCCTATATTAAAATTAAGCTTTGGAAGAATATTGTGAGATCATTAAGCCCACTCTTCCTGTGTGTGTGATACAGCAAGGGATGGGAATGACTGGCCTCTTACGGAAGGGGAAACTTTGGCATGCAGTATAGGATTCAACAGCAGTGTAGTTCTGAAGTACCAGAAACCATTCTGACAACCGGTGATTTCTCTCTTAATTCTGATTCTCTTACTATACTTCTAAGAACTAGTAAATTACCTTAGTGGCAAGAAATTAAAACTTTAATCTGTATTTAAAATTTCAAGAGAAATGGTGCAAAATCTGTGATTCAGTGAAATTTTTTTCTTCCCTTTCTTACGGTTTTACCTTTACTATATTTTTGGAAGAGACTGGAGCCTCACCAAAGAGATTATCCTCGCAGTTTGAGAAACACTATTCCTATGAAAACCCGTGGAAAAAAGAGGTGTTTGACTTTGGACTTATGTTATTATAATAGCTATGCCAAGTCAATTTTCATTGAAATTTGAGTTCTAACATAGACTAGTGTTGTTTATTCAACACTCACATAGTAAGAGTTCATATAGGCATGAGATAGAGCTATTACTAATGAAATAATATGACAAACATAAGTACATTCTTCAGAATTTCCTTACTTTTATAAAAGAAAAATGTAAAGCTGAGATTCTGCTGTTTTGTAACGTTACTAGGATGAATTTATCGTCAACATGCATTTTGATTAAATCACTAATACTGTAACATTTGCTTGAATAATCTCAGTGCCTTTGCAATATGTTTACTTATTTTTCACAGGAGTTCATGTGTTAAAACAAAAAACCAAAGTCACTCCACTTTGGATGGGTGGGCAGAGATGAAACTCAGCTCTGAAAGCACTGTTTCCTGTCACGGTTAATGCCACCAGTACTGGGCATCCCAGCTAGCATCAGGCCTATCACTAACATGGGGCTTATTCTTTTTTTGTTCTTAGATTTGTTTATTTTTAAAGAGACTCGCAAGACTGCTTAAAGCTTTAAAAAGAAAGAATTACCAGACTCTTCTAATTAGTGTAGCTATGATCATCTTATGATTTAATCATTCAGGTCATCTGTAGATAGAAATAGATTAACCATTAAGGGCATTTAATCTGTACGTATACTGCCCAAACTGGTCATCAGTGTATGAAGTACTTCTACTCTGATTTTGCCGTTTATGAAAGATTGTTTATGAAAAGTTAAGTTTCTTAACTAATCTTTGAAACTTTTGAGAAAAAGTTTTCTTTTGAGAAACAACCTGAAATCCAAATATGATTTTGATGTTAATCTTTGATGAAATATCTTTACTAGCATTCGTGAAGACTTAATTTTATTTTTCTACATTAATATGTTTTCTTACTAAGTTACCATTGAGGACTGTGTATGGTTTTTTTCCACTTAATACCATATTCCAATTTTATATGATCGTAGAATCTTAGAATTGAAGGTGATCTTACAGACTTTTTAAAACTCAGTCTTCTGTGCATTACATCTGAAGAATGCTTTGCAGTTAATCTGAAAATAATTTGTGCTTGATGACCTGATTTCCCATGTATGGACAGGAAACACTTGTACTTTTAGAATTTAAATAAACAATTCCTATTGCTTATTTCTGACAAAGTGAGTTTTCTCCAAGGAAGCCTTCTTTCCTTTTGAATTTTGATGGGCAAAAATCCATCAAAGCTTTTTCATGGATTTGGATTCAGTTTGTTGGCATTTTTACTCTTAATATTATAATTCTAAATAGTGATCATTATAGACTTTATATAGGTAGCTCATTTATATACTGTTTCAAATTGGTATATGCAGTGTTCAATGTAAGCCCCAGAATATGAAGACAAAAGCTTCAATTATGTCAGTAGATACTGTCCTGAATAGTCTTTTAAAACTTGCTTAAGTCAGTTTAGCTAGGTATGATGGTGTTGCTGTCAAGAACAGTGTCAGATGGATGCCTGTTTATGTTGATGAAGAACTGGCCATTTTATTCCTGCCTCTGGTGACACTTTTCTAACATGAATTGAGTCTGTTTTCTTAGAAGGAGCAAGAACTTCAGGTATTCTCTATGCTGCCTGAAGAGAATGTTGACTACAAGCCTAGTACCTAGACTTTGAGTCCCAGATATACTGTTTCTTTTACTCTTTTTGGATACCCAGTTTGGGTTCTGCTGAGTACCATGGATCAGTTGATACTTATTGTTGTTGATAAGTTATATATATATATTCCAGAAGATTCCTAGTCTGTGGACAGATGTTTCAGGTAACCATCCATGAGTCTGCATCTGAAAACTTGCATTTATCTTGACACCATGAGGCCTCATTCATATGGTGAATCAGCCCTGACAGATTACTGGAAAACATGGTTTTCATGTATTTTGTACTTTTTGCTTTGGATCATCAAGACATTGAAAGTGATTCACAAAATTGTGGAGAAGATTTCATTTTTAACTTTCTGGGACTCTGGGAATAATATTAGATGACAGTTACCCTTTCAAAAATTATCCCACTCATTTCATGGTTCCCAAAGATATTAAGTAAAAAATTAATTTTTTCCCAATTATTTTTATTAGTTGGAGGCTAATTACTTTACAGTATTGTAGTGGTTTTTGCCATACATTGACATGAATCAGCCATGAATTTACATGTGTTCCCCATCCTGAACCCCCCTCCCACCTCCCTCCCTATTCCATCCCTCTGGGTCATCCCAGTGCACCAGCCCCAACATCCAACCTGGACTGGCGATCTGTTTCACACTTGGTAATATACATGTTTCGATACTGTTCTCTCAGATCATCCTACCCTCGCCTTCTCCCATAGAGTCCAAAAGTCTGTTCTATACATCTGTGTCTCTTTTTCTGTCTTGCATATAGGGTTATCGTTACCATCTTTTAAATTCCATATATATGCGTTAGTATGCTGTGTTGGTGTTTATCTTTCTGGCTTACTCTGTATCATGGGCTCCAGTTTCATCCATCTCATTAGAACAGTCTTCTCTTGCAGTTGTTCACTATCTGCTCCACCTGCACTCTGCTGTATATAATGTGCAAGGATGAGGCTCAGTCTAAGGTGTTCTTGCCCTGACACTGAGAAAATTATTGAGCCCAGGTCCCATAGTTCTCTTATTGTAACAAATCAGATGCCAAGTCCTTAAATCAGTTAAATACCTCATATTGCTGATCTTGCTCTAAAATTAGACAGTTCTCTGAAAATAAGAATCCACGTTAGAACTGTAAACTCACTTCTTTGAAATGTGCTTAGCTTTTAGGAGAAACTGTAAGTGGAACCAAAGACATTGTAAGTCTCAACTCACATATAAAAGAATGACCAAGATTATTGTTACTGAGAAACCAAAAAATGATCATTTAACCTCCATCTGGATAATTTAAGAAGTATCCTTGCCTTTTCATTGTATTCAGGGAATGTATGCTTTAATTGAGTAATCAAAATGCTTTTTGTTGGCTTTCTGAAACTTTGATTCATCTTTAAATTTACTTGGCATAAACTAATTGCTTCATTGTCTTTGTGAAGTATTTGAAATTGATATTTTCATGGAATCCCTTTCATTTTATGCATGTAAACTTTGCCTGACAGCTGTATACTGAAATTCCCTATCTTACTCTTCTGATCATCTGTAAGTTGCAGTGCCGTGTTTGTTAGAGGCTTGGGTTCACACTAAGGAAAGAACGCTGTTTCTCCAGAGGGGGGGGTTGCAGTTGCTCTGCCCTGGTTCTCTTCCCTCTTAAAGTTGTCCTTTCATATTCAGTCTGTTTAATTTGATGCTTAAAGCTACACAGTTACAGATGCTTCATGGTAGCTGGGTTTTAAAAAAGCCACAGAAACAATTTAACATGTTTATTAACTTATTTGGCCTGACTCTTTGGGTGGACAATGAAGGGTGGGGGAAATGGGCAAGAAAACTAAGCTAATTTTAAAAATATGGGTGTTTGGGGAAAATGTTGAGCTGGGGTTTTACAAAAATCTGACTTGAGTGTTTTTCTCTTCATTTGCTGTGCTTATGTGGACAGTGTGACACCATCGCCACCGCAGGTCCGGGTTTGCCCTCCCCGTATGCTACCTGAAGACGGAGCTAATCTTTCCTCTGCTCGTGGCATTTTGTCGCTTATCCAGTCTTCCACTCGTAGGGCTTACCAGCAGATCTTGGATGTGCTGGATGAAAATCGCAGGTGATTGGCCATCACTGACTCTTGCCAACTTTTCTACATTATTTTTTGGCTCCTTTTTAGTGGACTGTGGTGTCTTCCTTTTATGTTTGCACCTTTGTCTCTTTCTCAGATGCAATGATTTAAAGAGCTTGCTTTGCTTTCTTTTAATTTGAAATTATTGTCCAAAATTCACATTTCAGAAGATTCTGTAAGCTTCTCTTCAGTTGAGGTACAGCAGGAGGGGGTGGGATACAGTTAGTAACTACCGATACACGGGAAATATATTGATTTTTCCCCCCCAAGACCTTGCTGAGCTGTTCTAAGTACTTGATTCCATTTTGGATATGCTAAGCGGTACTTTAGGATCCAGTGTGGAATGTTGGGCTGAATTGTACTCATTTTTGTTAGTAAATCTTTAATCATTTATGATACTAATGTGGTTGGATTAGTAAGCAAATCTTAGAAGATGAAGTCAGTGTAGCTGCTAGGGCTTTTTTTTTTTTTTCCCCCTCTTCACTAGGGATTTCTAAGCCTGTGCTAAAAATCCCAGGTGCTGTTGTCTTTTTGTTAATAATACTGATTGTTCTCAATATGGATGGCGTGTCTCACTTTTGAATGCCTCCAGTTAAAATCACTAGTAGTATACCTAGAATTGTTCATTCAAATGAATTTTTTGCCATTATTTCGAATACCTTTTTCTCCTTGCTTCATTAGTAGATAGTGTTTTAAAAAGATGAAATTTGAGAGCTTTTTGGCAGAATGTGAGAAAAGTACAGTCAATTTCACTTCAACTCTAAACATTTTATGTAGTAATAACTCTGTTGAGTCAGTGCTTGAATTTTCATAATCATTTTATTAGGATGTTAACTTTGCTTTCTGAACAATTTCCAATAAATTAAACAAGCCTTTCCAGTAGACCTTCTTTCTTACCTTGGGAACTGACATGTCTCGTGACTTGCTCTGAACAAACTTTTGCTTGTTACCTGCTCTTGAGCCTCACACAAGCCCCAGGTGTTTCTCTTCCTTGATGAGCACCGGTCATGCCTCTGGACTAGGGCTCCTGACCCTTCCCAGGGTTCCCATACGTGTGGGCCCAGGGACTTAAAGCCATACTAGAAAGAGCCTAACAGAGAAAGTTCATGGCAAGGGCAAAATTGCATCTATGTGTACCTGTATTCATGTATGGGTGGCGGTGTGTGTGGGCGTGTATATATGCACATTATGAATATATACATATATGTATGTGTATATATATCCCTCCCTAAGGGTTTAGAGTCCCTGTTACACTCTTTAAAGCTTCAAGGACTATATTAGATTATAAGAAGCATCATGGTTTAGAACAAAAAGCTTGGATTGAAGGGATCGGATTTAATCTTGGTCCACCGCACTGAGTAATTTGCCACGTGCTGACCTTGAACAAATTGCTTAGCTTCTCTGGGCCTCGTTTTCTTCATTTCTTAATACTAATATTACCTAGTTTTCTGGATTCTCATGAGGACTCTTCTTTCCTCCCTTGTCTTTATTTTAAGATATAAAGATGGCCTCAAATTTTTTGTTTAGTGTCATGAGAGATACTTAAAAAGATATTTAATATAAAGTACCTGGCACTTGACTAGTATTTCCAAATGCCTGTTTTCTTCTCCCTCCTTAACATAGATTTATTCTTTACCAGGTATCCTCTTTAACTTTTTAATTATAATAGGTCCTTACAAGAGGCTAGTCTATTAGGTCAAATTTATTTTATCAAATGCTATTACAGTGAAAATATCTGAATGGGAAAGATGTTTTATAAATCCTATATAGATGACAAAGATGCATCCCCCTGCATACACACAGCTCAATGCAGTGTATGGAAAAATAGTTGTATTTTTTTTTAATCCATAATGGAACAGTTTTGCCTTAAATTCAAAAGTATCATAAGAAATCTTATTAATTGTAAAATTTGCTTTGTATTCTATTATTTATGAAAAATTATCTTGAGCTTTAAGTGATTTTTTTTAATTGAAATAAATTGATAATTTAAAAATTCCCTTTTCTGTGAAGGAAGTATTTTTCTTATTCACTTAAGTGAGATTTTTTAAAAATTCATAAAGTAGTTGTAGTAATAATTCTTTGCTCCTGTATATATACCTTGGAACCTGGAAGAATAGATTAGTATTATTGGCTGCTTTCAACTTGAAAGGTTTTTTTCCCCACCGTTGTATTTACTAATCTAAATGTTGTGCAAGATTTAATCAGAGTTGTAGATGTCAAATTAGTTTTTATTTCTGCTAGGAGAACTGTCTAGCTTGACTTATCAGATACAAGAAATAAGAATGTGAAATTTGGATAATGTTCTACTTGCATGACTATTAAATAATATTGCATATAAAGTTTGAAGTGCTTTTATGTTCCTTGCTCTGTATATCTTTTTTTTTCCTTCCTATTTTTTATTCCTGGCTGTTATGCTAATGCAGTGTCTTATCTTTGGTCTTAAGCCATTGTATTAGATACAGTTAATAAAGTTAGAACTGTTTGACAGAAAGAATGAAAAAACCTTTCTGCCTGTTTTATTATCATAAAATAAGGCATTTTTGCTGTTGCTTGGCATAAGAATTATTTTTAGTTTATACTCTGAGGGTCACTGTTGAAAGGTTTATGTATTTTGTTTTTAATTTCTCATCTTGAGAACTTATATGACCCAAAACCAAGTTCAATGTGAAAACAAAGTTAAATTCTAGGTATGCGTTAGAAAAGTTTACTCACATAGGTTGGTGCTGTGCATTTGGAAAACTGAGGTATAAGAAAAAAAATTTACCAAACCATCTGAAATAGCAAGTACCAGGTGTGTTCTTTGGATTTAAAAATGCTGTTTAGTCCATGCTAGTTAGGAAATGCTCACATCTCCTGACACCTTCTAGAGCTCTGTATCTCACTCTCCAATACAAAATATTAGTGTTTTTAAAAAGAAACTTAGTACCTCTGAAAGAACGCTATTTAAGTACTCAGATTAGTCATGCTCAGCATGCTTAAGTTTTATACTTCCTTGACAGTCCAGTAATTAAGACTCCACTCCTCACTACAGCTGCTAGGGACAAAGGTTCAAGCCCTGGTCAAGGAACTAATATCCCACATGCTGCCCAAGCACAGCCGAAAAAAAGAAGGGACTTAATTATTTCTGGTTTTGATTCAATAGAGTAAGAAGCCAATTTGTAAATAATTTATATTTTTTGCAAGTATCCATGTAAATACATTACTTGGAAGACCTAGAAATTCAGAGTTGCAGTTGAGACAGTATCTGTTATTTATAATTTATCTTTTTAAAAAAATACATGTAATTCCTGGTACATCTACCCTGTTTACTTACTGTAGCAGTTTCCATGTTTTTGTTTTTGTTTTTTTTAGCAAAAAAACATTCTACTAAGACCATTTATTTACTGAAAAATGTTGATATACAAGTTGGTACTGGAAGAGCCTTGAATCTCATTCCCTTTTACCACTTTAATTACAAAACATATTTTCAAACCTGAAAAGATTTTTTAATACATTAAATCTTACTTATTTTCAAACTTAAAATGATTCTTTAATGTATTAAGTCATATTTACAGTAGAAAGTGGTACTTGAATAAAGTTTCTAACTTTGCCAAACACCTGTCTAATTTACTTTTATATTATATGTGTCAATTGCCAGTGTGAGAAGACAAAATGAAATACGTTGTGAAAGGTAAAGACTGTATTATTTTCTGGCTCTGCATTATAAAAGGGAAATCTCTGTGGTGGAATACGTTGGATATGGCAGATCCTTTTGAGCATATACTTGAATTTTTTAAAAAAGCTTTAGGTAGCACACAGCAGTGGCTTCACTTTTAACCTTTCCCATGTTAGTGTGATGTAGGATCGGAAAGTAAGTTTTCCTAATGTCACAGAATAAATGGATTAGTAGGGTGGGATGAGTTAAAAAACCTGCCTCAAGCGTTATGATTTCTTACCGTTCTTTAGCCAACAGAGGAGAAGTCTAATATCTGACTCAAAAGTCGCTTCCCCTCTAGGTTCTGCAAATTTCTTTAAGCACCAGTAGTGCCTTTAGGAAACTTACAACCTAAGCATTAAGATTTTCTCTTATAAATTGATTTGACATAAAATAGTGGTCTATATTGTAACAAAAATTCTACAGCTGTGCCAACTTACAGAAAAAAAAGTAGTAACATTTGGTGTTAAATGTTTCCTCTAAGAATTGTGTTGATACTTAAATTCAGGTAAAACCTGATCAGCCTGTAGAGAATGAGACATTCAAAATAGAATAATAATTCTTCAAACCCTCAATGTGGCTTCTGCACCCCACCCTCCTTTCTCTGGTTATAAGTATTGCTGATTCCTTTTGGGGGAGTTGACCAGTGACCACATAGAGCCTTTGTTTCCTGATTTAGAAAGTAACATTTATCGAAGAGGTTATCTCTTACCAGTAGATAGCTAATTGTGCACTAGAATCCAAGTATGTGCTCAGTGAAAATGCCCACGAAGTTCCCAGTGCACCTTAGTCTTCATTTCCAGCAGCCCCTCTGTGTCTCTCCTGGTTGCCCCTCGGGATCAGGCGCACACATTCAGTTGCACTTCCTGTGATGTGCTGTTTTATGCCCCTCAAGACGTGTCCCGACCTCAGCTCCAGAACTGGGCTCCAGTTCTGCTCTTGGGAACTGAGGGTTTGTGTGCGACCTGGCTGTATTAGGATACGAGGCAGGAAGCGGGATTCATGAGGCAGGAGGCAGGGAATTGTGGGGAGTGGGAGTTACTTCAGGTTTGTAGCTTTCGAGATAGCTGTTAATACCAGATGAGCAGCCATGACCATGCAGGTGCTGCTAACCCGTTCTTGACACGCTTCTGAAGTTGCCGGTGGTTTTTTTGTCCCCAGCTCTAAGAGAGGAGTTACACATTTTGAACAGAATTAGTAGGATGTCAAGTACGAGCACCAAAAAATTAGTTTATATGTTGGTGCTATTTGTTACAAAAATAAGAGGTTCCCTTTGTTTTCTAACTCATTGTAAAATGCTCAATTCATGAAAGTCATAACATGGATGACAGCGAGACAAAGATACGTAAAGTATTTGAAATATATTGTATTGAAACATACAATATAATCCTATTTGACATTTGTTTGTCTTATTTTTGCTTTTATTTCATTACTCTCTGTTTCCTGATTCTGTCTTGTGCCTTCTCCTGCAAAAACCCGCCTTAGACCTGTGTTGCGTGGTGGGTCTGCTGCCGCCACTTCTAATCCTCATCATGACAACGTCAGGTAAACTCTGAGACTTTGTAATTACCAGAGTGAACAGTTGGTTGAGTGTGTTATTTTGCAGGACGTAATGCATGCAGCAGCCATGCCTTTAGATTATAGCTTTAACCTCTAGAGTTTTCTCTAGGTGGACCCCCTGCTTTTCTCTGAGAACAGTGAGTCTAATCACTCGTGACATTTGGCCAAGACAGTATAAAGAAAAAGTTATAATACATCACTATGTGAACGTCTGAGATGGTGTATTTAAACACAGTTTTAATGGACGATCATGGTAGTACACAGAAAAAATAATCTTAAACCTGCTTCGTGTGCATTATGTTAATTGTTGCCTGAGGTTCTGTCCAGCACTTCCTTTTTAGTTGTTAATTGTCTATAATGTCACTTTGTCACTTTCACTGTATAGATAAACATGTCTGTAAAGCATCATTTTAAATTGTGGAAATTAGTATTGACAGCCTGAGAGGTTAAATGTTTAGAAAGAGAATTTAGTTTTTAAACATTTTTGTCATCTGTTGATGAAGCTTTTCTCTCTTGTTTTGTCCTTCTCACTTTGAGTTATGCTTAGCCTAAAGTAGACGTTTCTTCCTGTCGTGCACAAGGACAGATAGAATGGCACATAGTAATACTTAAGGTTCTCAAGTACCCAAATTCTCATTTCCCAAGTTGTACAGTTGAAAAAAAAAATGGTTGGTACAATAATGATACCATTACTGTAATTTTTTCAGAGCCAATTTTATTTATTTTAAGCAAAATCTGCAGCAGTAGATTTCAGACTGGCAGCATTATTTCAATGATGAGAGGAAGTGAGCTGGCACATTTCATCTTTAGGTAGAAGAGGGAAACATGAGGGAAAGAAGAGGGAAATACTAATTTCTGATTGGAAAATTGAAAAATGTGACCTTAGGAGTCCCATTCCACTCAACTGACTAGTTTATTTTTACATTATTAACAAGTTTTTCCTTGTGTATTGCTCATAAGTTTGTGATCCTTTTATTTTTGTTATTTTCAGCCAATGATCTGACTTAGAATTTCTTACAGAGATTTTAGGTCTGATAAATACATGTTTTGGTTAAAACACACATGTTTTGAGTTGAATTATACAGGTAGAGTCTTTTGCATACCCTTAGATTTCTTAGCAAATGAAGATTTCCTTTACAGATGTTTAAAACTATAGTTAGTTCAGAATGTAAGTTGTGGGGAGTTCCTTTCAGTTACAGTTCATTTCTCTGCATTCAGTCTGGGTCCGTTTACCTTTGAAGCAGTTGCTTCTGTTGTTTGATTCCCGCCCCCCCCCCCAATTATTTATCTAATATATGACCTCACAGAAATAGAAAACTTTTATTTTGAGGATAAAGTGTAGAGAAGAGGAATCTTCAACCTTTATTTTTTTCCACTAGCTGTTTAATAATTCTGCTTAATGTTAAGAGGAATTCAGATGTTTATAAACCCATAGTTCTAGCACCTACTGATTTAGTAGCTTACTTCTCTACCCAATGCAGTTATTCTCAGTATTCCAGTATATTTGCTCTATTCCCATGAAGGAAAGGGCACATCACCTACTGAGTTGGTAGCTTACTTCTCTACCTGATGCAGTTACGCTCAATATTCCAGTATATTTGCTCTATTCCCCCATAAAGGAAAGGGCAGATGAGGAGAAAGCCAGTTAATTTAGCCATAAAAGGAGTGTTTAGAGATCATTCTAGGTTATCTGAAGTCAGTACACACCAAGTGTCATTGAAATCGCAACCTGTATAATTCTAATTGGTGTTCAGAATGATGGCACTGCAGGATTATAAAATTTAAAATTGTTTCACATTATTTATTAAAGTATTTTTGAATTATTTTCAGTAGCATTTATAGCAAAAGGATTTTCTAAATAGACTTGTCTTTAACATGTCCGAATGAAAAATATAATTCTCTTCATACCCCTTTTACCCCTTTGTATGGTAATGTGTTTTTTGTTATGGAGACTTGCTTAGAGTATTAAAAACATGATGTATGTGCCAACTCTAGATTACATAGGAGTAACTTTTAATCTGATTTATTTATAATCTGCTCATTCAGCAAAGTTAATGAGCCCTTTTTATTAAAATAGCCATACAGGATTAAATAGACTGTACACGTGTGAGGTGAATTATCAGGTATGTAAATTGTATCTTACTTAAAATATATTTTAAAAGTGGAAGTCGGGACAAAGAGGAATAATAGCATTTGTGTGTTTCTCAGTAGTTGTTTGTCATTTATTTAAAAGTCAATGCCCCTTTAGAAGTAACTGCATTTGAACAAGAAGAACTTTTTAATATTTTCTCAAGAGTTTGTCTTAGTGGCCTTCCAGCATTATGTTATACACAGCTCCTTAATTACAGTCCTTAAATTCTGGATCTGAATGTAGCGGCAAGGTGTGTTCAGGTTATTTTAGAACTGCTTCTCTACAGGAGAGATTAGATAATTGGAAATAAGAAGTGAAGAGTAGAAATGGCAAGAGGGGAAGTAGAAATGGCAGTGAGAAGAGATGGAGAAATAAAAAATGACCAGTCTTAGGCTTTTAGCTGGAGTTTGTTTACTTGTATTCCCTGCCAGTGAGTCTCAGCAGGGACTTCTGAGCAGAATGACAGCTCTCAGATCTTTTCAACCAGGTGTCCTTTTTTAACACTGCCAGTCTCTGAGTTGAAAAGTATCTCCTTATTTACATCCTTAGTCAGGGTTTCTTCTCTTTCTCTGACCTTCAAGACACTTTCCCAGGATTGTGGGTAGTTGTTCCCTTAAGCTCTTCTCTTTATTAATGCCCATTCAGATTGATAAATATTTTAATAATTTGTACTGTTAAATACCAGTCTTTATAACAGTCCTCTGAGCATTACATAATATGTTATGTGACTTGCAAGGTACTTTTAATTCTGTTCTAATATTAAATCGTGTTTTATTTCTCAGGTATGGCATTTCAAATATAGATGCAATGATTGAAGGAACTTCAGAAGACATGACAGTTGTAGATGCAGCTTCATTAAGACGACAGGTATTTAATGTACCGAACAGCATGTGACCCTAAATTCCATTCATGTTACATGTAAAGTGGTAGTTCCTAACATTTTATCATTTTTCTCTCCATTGTAACCCATGAATTAAAATACTTTCTCTATCAAACTGTTTATTAAACCATAATTGATATTCCCATTTTGATTAAAGATGTATTAAATCACAGTTTACAGGTTTTCCTCAGCATAAAACAGTATTACCAAAATGGATTGATGTAATTCTAGCCAGCAACACAGAGTGTTAACATTTTAAGCAAATCTATACAGCTGTATATTGCTCTGAAGCTGGGATAACCCTTCAGAGTTGGAGCAGGGAACCCGGGCCTTTAACACCATCACAAACCAGTTGTTGGATGCACACTGTCTTCATAAGGAAGCATGAACTTGGCGAGACAGTTGTTTGGCCCAGGGCTGCTCATAGTAACGACCAACAGCCAGGAACTGTGCTGTTGACCAGTGACACTCCTGGCAGGTAGAGAATTAGCATTTTAGTCCTGAAGGGCCTGGGTGGCAGGTCACAGGGCCCACTCCAGTAGGTTAATACACGGAGCCCTCTGAATAACTCAGAGAAAGCATAAAGCAGTTAAAGCGGGCTAAATAGGAAAAACTGAAGCTAAGTGACAGAAGCTTTTAAGAGAATTTAATGAATTTAAGCTGTCTTGGGTAACATTTTTTTCCCTATATACAACTTTCTTTTTTGGTGCCGAATGAAACTTCTCATGTTTGTAATAATTCTTTTGAGAAATTAAGCTACTTAATAAGAATCTGATTGCATCATGCATTAAAGCTTCTGTTCGTTTTTCGATGTTGTTTTTCACTCAGATAATCAAACTAAATAGACGTCTACAGCTTCTGGAAGAGGAGAACAAAGAACGGGCTAAAAGAGAAATGGTCATGTATTCAATTACTGTAGCATTCTGGCTGCTTAATAGCTGGCTCTGGTTTCGCCGCTAGAGGTAACCTCAGCTCTCAGAAATATTGTCTCAACAGCTGGAAATATAAAGAATTTGCAAACTTCTTTGTTTTCTGTCTTTGCATTGTATGCCGTTTCACAGTCCACGCCCTGAAAATTTATTTCTCCCAGAAAGGAGGGGGAAGGACTTACATTTGCAGAAGTAAAGGTATATTCTGTCACTTGACTGTATTTACTTTTAACCAGTTCTGCCATAACACCTACTTAAAATTCACACTTTGCATGTTTTGTAAATAGGATCTAGTTGGTTTTTTTTTTTAAGGAATTTTTTTTTTGCCTCTTCAGTCTGCACCACTAATTCTATGAGTGTGAGAAAGTGTATAGAAAATGGGTTTAGCGAAATGTCTGTAAAGGAAAAATAGTACTTCATTTTGTCCTATTTGTAGTGTTTTCTCAAACCCCGTTAGATTAAACAATTTAGTTAATAGACATTTTTGCATCCACATGTCAACATTAACACTACTGAAGTCCTGGTCTGGTGTCAGATTTAATAAAATCAAGCCACCCCATGTTTCATGATCACCTCCAATAAAATAATGCCTAACATTTTAAGCGGTTTATCTAAAATGTGGGTAAAAATGTGCATTTTTATTTTTATTTTGCAGATGGTTTTCTATAAAGTACATTTTTACTAAGTCCGTGTGTGAATGATTTAAAAAACTACAGAATAAGGTACAAATGTAGTGTATTTAATAAACTGTCAACCAAAGCTGTATTTGTCTGTTGAAAGATTTTATTTCATCATATTGTGCTGTGTGCTATATTCCATGTCATATTTCTTTATATGCACCTAAGCCTTCCCATCTCTGGAGCAACTAGTACAGTTAATGACATGGCAGGTAGCAAGTCAGATCTTCATCCTGGTAGTGGTAGACACTGGTTTTGTTACAACTGTTTTTCTAATATGTATTGTCTATAAAGTGATTGAGATAGAAACACCATCAGTTCTGTTGCTTCTTCCGTTGTGTTTAGCTGATATTCTAAATTTCATGAGATTAAAAGCATCCAGGAAACCAAGTGATGGAGCCTTTAGTTCCCAAACTATTTGTTTTTTTCCTTTTTCTTTTTTTTGGTTCAGAAATGGATAGAATTTTACTTAGGTACAGCATTCGCCATACATTTTCAGTGTCTTTCTACCAAGGCAGTAAATTTTGAGAAAGGCAATTAGGGGAAATTCTTTAGATAAAGGTATATTCACCTGTTCTTTTCTTGCTTCTTTCCTGTCCTTCAAAAAATACTTGGAGGAGGGATTCTTTTCTTTAATTCTTAGGGTTTGTCATGAGTTTGGTGGCAGTTTTTTTTTTTTTTAACCCATGAAAGTCTTCTGACTTTTATATTAATAATATCCTTGTGATATCATTCATTGTAGCAATTCTCTTTATATGTATATCTCAAGGTAATTTCTGTGAGTAATTGAAACTACAAAAATGACTTAAAAAACAGTCAGGGTGGTCAGGAAATACATCTTAGATATTCAAACTGAATCTCAAAGTAAATAAAGATGTGATTTCAACAAGCAGAGAATGAAGAAAAGATTTCAGATGCAGGAAACAGTGGGAGAAAAGGATACAGTTAGGGCCAGTAACCCATTGTTCAACCTCTCGGGCTCACTAGGGCCATTAACAAGTAAGTAGCAAGCACAAGTGTAGCAAGTGCCACTACTTTCAGAACTCTTATTTAAAGGTTGGATTTTTTTTCACTTCTTGGAATATTTGTTGAAGCATTTGCTGGTTATCTACATTTGGGGGATGATTTTATGAAAATACATTTGCAAGAGAACTTTCGTTCTTTTCCTGCGTGAATGTCTGTTATCCAGCTTCTTAATTATAATTGTCATTGAATTTGAACTTTTTCTGGCCTCAAGTTTGGAAAAATGTAATTACTGTAACTGTTCTTTTACGTACAGTTTGTTATGCCAATAAGCAGACACTCCTGTATGCACAGCACTGACCTCAGCAGTAAGCAGTTTCAGCAGATACACCACCACAAGCCCCACTGTTAAGAAATTGTTAGATTGATGGAGGAGGAGGGAAATAAGGCTCATTAATGAATTAGAGGATTATAAAAATATTTTATGAAGGAGAAGGAACAAGATAAATGCTGAAGAATAGGGAGAGATTGTTTCAGATGGATACAGTAAAAAAAAAAAAAAAAAAAAATTTCCAAAATGAGACCGAACATGGGGGTGGAAGTGAGAAATAAAAAGCAGTGGGCTTTGTAAGTAACTTAGGTGCATGTTGGGCTCCCCTGGTGCTCAGACAATAAAGAATCAGCCTGCAATGCAGGAGACCCAGGTTCAATCCCTGGGTCAGGAAGATTCCCCTGGAGAAGGGAATGGCTACCCTCCCCTGTAATCTTCCCTGGAGAATCCCATGGACAGAGGAGCCTGGCGGGCTACAATCCTTAGGGTCACAAAGAGTTGGACACGATTGAGTGACTAACACTTTCAAGTATAGGTGCATGTTGCTGGGTTGGGGGTGGAGGGCATTTTTACAGACATGCATTTGTAATTTTAGGTATCAGGGTAGAGATAACATGTAGCCAACCCACCGCAAGTGGCCCATCAGCCTTAGGCATTTAAGGGCATTTAGGTGTATCTGCTATACACCATGGCAGCAGTTTCCACAAGACCAAAATAGCAAAAAAATAACTTGCCAGCCATTTCAGCCAATTGTGCTACTGCCAACCATCCTTTCTTTTGCCGTCCGAAATGAGAGGCTCAAGTCTCTGTTCATGACCCTGTAGAGAACTGGGGTCATCTCAGCCATTTCCAGGCTGATGAGGATTATATACATCATCACTGACTTGTTTAGTCAAGTTCAGGGAGCTGTCACATTTACTTGTGTTTTAATTTTTATGACTCTTAGCAGTTTGGTCTTCATTTAATATGCAGTGAGTCTTGGCTAAAAGCTGAGTTCTAAAAATCGGCTTCATTCATGCAATAAAGTGTTCATAAGATTGCTACTTTGTATCAGGTACTGTACTTGGTCCTGACTGTGCCTGAGTGAATAAAAAAAAATCCTTGTAGCCGTGCAGCTTATGGTCTTATGGGGGAGAGTGAAATTTAAGGAACAAGCGGAAGTCAAAATGCTGTTGCCATTGCGATAAGTACTGTAAATGAAAGAATGCTGAAGGAGAGAGGATGGGAGGCCCACTTTTCATTAGGCTATTAGGGAAAGCCTCTCAGAACAAGTAACTTGTTACACTGCAACATGACTGAGGTGTGATAACAGTGATTTCGGTACCTGCTGATTTTTGTTGAAATCACGCACTCTAGGAAGGCTTTCTCAAGTAGGAGATGTTTAAGGGTAAGTAGGTATTTATAGGAGCATAGGGAGAAGATCTTTATAAATTGGTTCAGAAAAAAAATGCCTGTAAGCTCTTGATGTTACTGATTGGGGGACGCAGGCAGCTATAGGAATTGTAAATTATTTCTAGAATCTTAAGCCCAGTTAATATAATATATAAGTAATTGAATAAAAATGCAGGCATGATCATAATTCAGAAAATGGTAGATTTTGAATTTTGTCTATAACATTTTAATATGGCCAATACACTGTTTTGTTATCCTGTCTTTTGAACTTGGCATATGTATAAGCCAGATTGTGAAAGACTTGATTTTCCCCCCAGGTGTTTATTGTTTTTTAATTACTATGAAAAATGCAAACATAAGAAAATTGAATCATGTCATGAATTGCCATATACCTGTCACCTAAATATAATAATTAACATTTTTCCATTGCTTCATTTTTTAGCTGAAATGTCTTAAAAATGTGATGTTTTCCCCAAATGCATAAATAATGCATTTCTGAAAAATACATTTTCCTGCATAACCATAAAACCGTCATCAATCATAAAAAACGAACAATAAGTCCCTAATAATACCTAAACCAGTCCTTGTACATGTTCCCCCAGTTACCCCTGAGAAGGTCCACATAGTCCATTTGCTTGAATCATACCTCTCTTTGGTCTCTTAATCTAGAATAGTTCCCTCAACCCATCCAACTTTTTGTTTTCTTTCTTGTACTACATTTTCTTGTTGAGAACAGTTGACTGTTCTGTGCTTTCCCACCTTTTGAATTTGTCTGAATATGTCCTCTTTTCTTGGATTTCCTGTAAGCTGAATGAGGTCTGAAAACTTGATTATATTCAGATTACCTTTCACAGTTGAACAGCTTCGTCGGTTAGGGGCACCAACTTTCTACACAATCAAATGTTACAAGTGTTAGTTGCTCAGTCTGTTTGACTCTTTGCGACCGCATGAACTGTAGCCTTCCAGGCTCCTCTGACCATGGGATTTTCCAGGCAAGAAAATGTTGCTGGTCCTCCATATAATATGCCTGTTTTTTCCATATCCTTGGTTCGACTGTATCCAGGGCTCTTGTACCCACAGATTCAACCAACAGCACTGAAAATCATGTGGTACTCTTGTATTTACTGTTGGGGAAAATCTGCTTCACAGGTGGACCTGCACAGTCGAAACCCCAGTTGTTCAAGGGTCAATTGTATATATTTATCGTTTTTAATTATAGAGAAATTAAAAAAAAAAAGAGAAATCCCATACTTTGTCTTCTATTATAACTTCTGTCCTGCTTACTCTCCCTCCCTTTCTCCACATATGAGGATATAGTTAGAAAATCCAAATAATACACCAGTACAGAAAGACAAAATAACCAGAAAGCTTCTCTCCACTTTTCTCCAAAGTCAATGACTGATATTTTTCTTTCCATATGAGAATTTGCATTTACCAGCATGCTTAAATGTGATTTGTTTTTTAATTATATCAAATATGACTTTAAAAACAACCTTCGAAAAATAAAAGTAAAAACAACCTTTGGGCTAAACTGACTCATCCACAGCTTTCTAGGTAATGTTCTATTATTGAACTTCTAAAAGCATGTGTTTTAAAGGTTCTCAAATGATTTAAACTAGTATTTACATTTTATTGTTTTAAACTACACGATTTGGCTTCTTCGCTTAG